GACGTTAATATGTAAATCCTTAGTATTAGAAACAGCGTAGGATAAATGAAATATTCATAAAAGTACTATTTACCCATATTACCAAAAATACGCTCCAAGAGAGCAATATAGGTATATATACCAATGTTATCGCACCCTAAATTATTTCCAGCCTGATAAAATAACTGAATTGTCCTAAGACTATACCATGCGCCTTATGGGTTGAAATATGAAGTTGTGAAAAATCGCATTTAATATGGGGTTTTGGGGTTATTGGGTTGACCGAGAACTAAGTTACGTTATCAAGTGTTCGTCATGTCCTTCCGCCGAAAGGCGGATCAAAAAGACTGTCCATGCCAAGGCTAACGGATATATGAGGTGCCGAAATAAGGCGGTGTGTAGGTGTGCTGAAAAGGCTCCTAGATACCTGCAACACAATTGGAGATAAAAACAGGAAAAGGAACAACAGGAAAAGGAACTATTATTATATACAATTACATGTGTGTTATTCTCTGCCTCTCTAATTGAATGCTCTCTATTGTTAGGTCAATGATATATCGAGTTGATCCAGAGGGGGCTGCGCGAACTTCCGTCAACGGGGAATTAAGGTACACTGTGGAACAAAAATCATTTCTCGCTCCGGCGTCACAGGGGTCCAGGATATCTGATTTTTACGTTACGTATAATTTCAGGCAGATATTAATGTCTCCTTCCATGTCTCGTGAAAGTTGTGTCTTTGAAGTTGGGTCTGGGTACTTCATGCGACCGAACTTATCCATCTGTTACGACAGCTGTTACCCCAGATTGTCACAGGGTTGTCACAATCATGACCGTATTGTACTGTGATCTGGTGTTACGGAAATACTTTTATTCCGGAGTCCAAATTTGGCTCTTTCTCGCAGCTTCCCTCCGGCTTTCCCTTGCTTTACTCAGTGGCACTTTTGAATTCGTCTCTTACGGCAAGACTTCCGCTTATGATCTTTTGCAATGTATTCAATTCTCGAATAGTTACATCCAAGCACCCGCATACGCAATTTTAGTCATATATCCCGCCCGTTGTCGGAAAGAGTATTCGGGTAATACACCCCGCTTGTAAAATACGGTATTGATGGTATTGAATAACCAGTTTCCCCTTCCCCCCCCCCCCCCCTAGGTGGTTCTCTCTCTCTCTATAACCAGTGGCGGTCTGAGTTAATTATTGTCATTGCTGCTGAATCAACACGCATATCTGCGGGTGTGCTGCCAACGAGTGTTCCCCTTTTCACTGTTCACTTGGTAGTAAATCCACGCGTGACAGACGAATCGGACGTGACTGTTCCCTGACCCCTGACTGTCCACTGCCATCAGCAACGTCATCCCCTGCCCCCCAAAAAGAGGAAAATGTCGACAATTACCAGCGATGAGATCGGTGAGAAGATCTTACAGTCGTCAGAGAGTATTACAAAGAGTTATGCTCGGCTGCAATTGTTGATGGAGAACTATTCGACCATCGAGTTCCGTTGGAAGAAGTACAATACTAAAAAACGCCAGAACCGGCTTGAAAAAGCATGGCAAAAGATGCCTATTTTGCAACGACCTGATCTCTGGGAGTACAACCGAACCGGCTATGATGGTAGTTCCGACAACCCTGCGGTATTCATGTGGCCTGATATTAGCTTGCGGGCATTGAAGGATGAGAACACACTTTTGGATTTCCTGAGCGCCCGTTGCCATGACCCACCTTATAATTTCATCTTCGCCGACCGCGAGGCAGTAGAATTTGGCGTCATGACCTCGAATATTCAGCAGGAAAAACACTTGGCTGAAACCTACGACGTCGTGTTTTAGAATGACGCTGGCAATCGATACGGAGAGCTGCTGAAGCGTGACGTGGATTGCGCAAAGACGAGGCAAATACGGATGAATGCTGGCGATGGGCTTCTTGTTCTAGAGAGGCAACAGCGCCTGTACCGTTTTCTGGCTGACGTTGCAACCTCGTTATGCAAGGACATGCCCGAGGAAAGTGTACCGAAGTCGTCACCCGAACAGCGGAACGCGAACGCATTGTTGGGCGTCAGGAGGCACTCGTTTTATCGGTCGCCCGTGCACTTCGATGCGCACTCTCTACTCCATTTCGTTGACGCACAGCTGGATGCAGCGGAGGACCACATGCGCGCACTGCGAGAGGATCCCAGGTATTTTGCCGACATGCTCCGTGAGAGAAAGGATCACGCGATGGAGCACGTGGCCTGGTCACCCTCCGCCCGACCAGTCCAAGTAAAGGAATCATGGAATTACACCATACGCGTGGTGATACGTGAAGCTTATGCTGCCCTGGGAATGTGGACCGCGGTGAAGGTGCAGCTACAGGCCCTATCTCAATTGATGGCCGACCATGGGGTAGGTTTGGAGCCTCACGAAGCCCTCTCTCAGCCCTTGGGGGATGCACTTGCCAACATGGTGTGGTTGCTGGAGCTGATGTTTGAAATGCCCTTCGCAACCTTTCTGGAAGTCTTGCCACCATCACCTCTGATGCGAGATTCGTTCGGAAAGACGATAACCCTAGACGGAAAGCTTCAGTATCTCCCTACTCAGCAAGCTTGCGAAGACACAACCAAAGGCGGAATAATCAGAACCGTCGCGATGCTCATGAATAAAGACATTAGGAAAGACGTTGGTCTCCCCACACTCATGGATCTATTCGATACCGTTCTTTTGAAAGATCAGGCGACCGTCAGCCTCCTGTCACCACTGGTGATGAGGACCATTTCGGAGTTATCTGCACTGGCAGAGTGCGTGCGCGAGATCTTTGCTTTCCAGCCGTGGGCCAGAAACATTAGAAGCGCACTCGAGCGAAAAGAAGCGTCTTTCCGTCAAGACTGGGAGAAAGCTAAGGCGAGATGGCTGTTGCCGGACAAGGCGTGGAACCAGTCGGATTTGGCTACGTCAGTCGCGCCCGTGGAAGAGCGATTTGCCTATCCGGTGAACAAGAAACCCTCGCGCAAGCGGACGAATGCAATGCAACGTGCAGAAGCCAACCTCGATAAATTTTGGGCGGAGGCGGATCGTGAGATCTTGGACCACCTGAAACAGATGGAACTGCCCGTTGATGCAACTTGGGTACCATATCGTACTCCCAACTGGGTGGAGCCCATGAGTCGTCGAGAACCCAGGGCTCCTCATGTTCCTCAGGTTTCACAGGATGTGATTGATTTCGAGCTCGCACATCGTACACAACAGAGACCTAGCAAAAGCCAAACAGGTAATACGCAACCCGAGAAGGCCAAAACACGGGGGCCTGCGCAAGCGCCTTCGTCAGAATTCCCCATACCGCCACCAGAAGACGGCACTCCAACCCCAAAGATTAGCGTGACGCATGAATCTCTACAGGTGTTTCGAATGCTACTTCCTCACAGATGGGAAGGTGCGCTCCCGGGGCAGCTCCCCTGGAGAGATTTCATGTCTGCAATGACGGAAGCTGGCTTCCGGTCAGAATCTACCTCTGGCTCCTCGGTGGGATTTATTCATTATAAAACTCGGCAGAGGATTCAGGTACACAGTCCTCACCCACACTCGAAATATGAATTTCACGCCGCTCGGAACATTGGCAGGCATCTGAGGCGCAGATTTGGATGGGACGAAAAGACGTTCTGCTTGAAGTCTACGTGAATTGATGACTCCAAACCCACGACGCTGATGTAAAGTACAAGTTGCCGTCAGTAATTTTGCTGCACCTAACTTTCGGTTTCCTCGCTGCCACTTAAGTCTCTTTGCTGCATCATTTGTCTAGGTCGATAAGACACGAGGCAGGCTCCCTCTCGGATTTCCATTTTGCATATGACCAGCCATCCAGCCCGATATACCTCTCTGCAATCATTTCATAGACCCAGATGTGAAGATAGTGGTGCCCCAACAAAGGCCTCCAACCGAACGTAGTGAGCGTTGACCGTGTCATCCTTGCCGACCGTCCGGCTTGGCGAAGTGATATCGGCACGATTCACGAGAACAACCAGCCCCGTCCCGATGAGCCCGTTGCGGGACACTGACAGTGGTCAACAACCGCAGGTGCGGTCGTCCAGACTATGAACGAATAAATCTCACTTACCAAAGGAGCTCCCCAGAGGACTGGTCACCACAGACCAAGGTCTGCGGCAGATGGACCTGCCATCAGAGATATGAGTAGTCGACCCCGAAATACTGGGGCTTAGGCATGTGCCGTACGACAGTCCAATTGCCCGCTATGAGCCGGGTCAGTGGGGTCAAATATAGCTTAAATTAAAGGTCACGGTTCTCAAGGGCTTCTATCATTCCCTGTATTCCGCCTTTGCTCGGAGGACCGAGTAATGATTCTCAGGCAGTGGTCTTGGAGATGTAAGATAATAGGAATGGGCGAATATATGGCCGGCGGCATCCAAGTACAGCGGCCATGTGGACACGTCCTAATAGCAGAACGTTTCAGGTTAGCCGTGCCCAGCCTACGTCCCAACGCGGAATCGCAGATGTGGATTTCTAGGAAGGCTGGCCAGGAGAGTATCCCGCGAACCGCAGATTCCTCCTGGCCACTTTAACTAACGTAAAAACATTCTTTGTGTCCAGTCACGCTCATTCGATTAAGTTGACATAATTCGGTTCTCTTCATTTCTGCTGAAAGAACAATCATATTTTTCCAGCCTAATAGCCTGCCTAAACAGCTCAAAGCCGCGGCAGCAACATCCCACTACCTTCAATAAAGCTACCAGGCGAGTGAACCCATACAGCCGGTCGGCCTGTCTGCAGACACAATATTCCTACTGTGTTTGGTTTCAAGGTGATTGTATTCCCGAATCCCTTGTCATGCTGAGTTCGTCTTCCAGTCCGGTGAATACCTTGATGCAGTCATAGGTGCTGCGCAACTTCGCGATTGCCCCATTGGTGATGTAGGAGCGCCAGGGATGGATCCTCTTCATTGATGCAATTCATTCCTTGCCACTTTCTGATATAAACCTACCCTTTTTGGTTGTACCGTGAGGTCCCGAGTGGATTGAGATACCCTTAGGTCTCAAGCACATCCTCTGACATTCGAAATTCATACCACTATGTACACCACTAGCTACAAATTCATACAGTGCATGTTCAATGCGCTTTGTATGTAACGGGCTGTACAAACCCATCCTTTATCAGCAGACAATGAACTTGAGAATTTCGAACGAATGACAAGGGTTTAGAGTGAACAATGTAATATATATTCTCATGTAGGTATTGATCAAAGGGATCCCATTACCCAGAATTATAAGCTGAATTCGCAGACAACGCCTGGTTGGGTACCGTAGCAGAAATTGCCACAGAAAGTTAGAAACGGATGAAATATGCTAACAGATCAACGTAATCTTGGGCGGCAATGAAACGATGTATCTGTGAGATAACCGAATATTATTTGAAATCGAGCTTATTTTAGTAGCCGCCCACTTGATTAACTTTGCCGCTGTTGTCTTCCAAAGTACCTCAATCTTGAGCGGGCAGGGGGAACACGGGTTGGTATCCATACTCTGGAGTTGGAACACGCTACGTGTCCCGCTGGTTTCTGTTGATCAAACGACATGATCCATAATTGGAAAGTGATTGGGTATTTCATAATGGGATATCATCTTATCTACACATTGCTCTTTCCGTGTTTGACCTGTTTCTTTAGTCCTCATTCTGAGACAGGCTCAACTTTTACTGCGTTGTACCGTTGTACCAGTGTCATTGTTCCTTTCCTAATCGTTCCTGTTGACGGACAATTCCAAGTTCCCCACTTCATGGATTTTCTGATTCAGGATAGTGGTGTCCCTCGAAACGAATAGATGTTTCTTTACAGAGGCTTTTGCATCGAGGAGATATTTCATGCAGAAGCAAAGAGTCAACTTGTCTTCCACATTCCTAATATTCTGTCCCTTGCTGGTATGATTATCGTCACAAATCTCAGTCGAGATTAGCCTGACATCGCAGAGCAGCTTTTCGTGTGGAACGATCCACCATTTTCCACGCCAAGCTTTCTTTACATCGCCGTACGCATGCCAGCGAGTCTCATGGTAAATCTTGTAGTGACAGTGATCATATACATGAGTTGGATCTTGGATCGTGATCTCGACATGGCAAGGAGCACATGTGTATAGATTGAGGTGGTATTTGCGACTTTGTCCGCTCTCCGCGATACGTTCGTGCGGACAACAAAGCTAGATAGTCCCGGGTGCAAGCTGTGCGTCGTTTCCAGTTCTGCCTACAACTCCTGCAGAGCATACTTCGTGTCGCCGAACGAACAACGTGCTCCAGTGAATCAGCAGGGTTTCGCCGTTGAATCATCAGCACAATGGCGGCATTCGTCCGAGACGCTTTAGAGACGATCTTGTCACATTTGGCCCACAGGCACTGAGTCCGGTGTAAAGGATCGCCAAAGACCTGGCCGAAGAAGTATTGAAGGTGGTTGAGATCTCGTGTCATTTTCGGTAGGGGCAAAGAAAGTTTGAAGGGTAACTGGGGAAGAATATGAAAGGAAACGCGCCCACAGTTGTCTTATTTATTTTTTGCGCCTATGTCTCGGTCATCAGACAATTGTGGGTATACGAAAATAGAAAATGAATAAAATCATACAGTACTCGATTCTCTACTTAGTCTGCAACTTCAGTGAGCAACAAAATTGCCAAATTCCTACAGGTAACGTGTAAATGAGGTGCCGAAATAAGGCGGAGTGTCGAAACGCCTCATAGATACCTGTAACACAATTGGAGAGAGGTTCATCAAATAGAATTATTATCGTATAAAAACATGTGTGGATTATCCTCTGCCTCTTCAATTGAATGCTATCTATTGCGAGGTCAATAATACATCGAGTTGATAGAGAGATGGCTTCGCGAACAGCCGTCAACCGGAATAGAAGATACACTGCGGAACAAGAATTTTTTCTCGCTCCAGCGTCACAGGGGTCCTGGAAGTCTAATTTTTACTATCCGTATAATTCCAGGCAGTCACTATTGAACTACATACAGATATTGATATCTACCTACTGTACTTCGTGAAAGTTTTGGCTCTGAAGTTTGGCTCATGCGACCGGGCTCGTGTATCTGTGACGGCAGGTGTTACGATAGATTGTCACAGGAACGTCACAATCAATACCCGAATTGTAATCTGGCGGTCCGGAAATACTTCCATTCTGGTGTCCAAATTTGGCTCTTTTGGTCAATCACGGCTCGGGTAGCCTGGCCCTTCCTGCCCGTGTTTTCCTCAGAGTTTCCTTTCCCAGGGTTGAACTTCTGTGTCCGCCACAGCCGTCCATGCGTAAGTTACTGTTTAACCTAGTTACTGTACGGAACAAAGAGGGCCTCCGGGGGGACAGAATTGGCACGAAACAAGCATACAGTGCAACCTATATAAGCATCTCTTGCCTCCACACCCCATCACCCTAAACTTACCCATTGTCAGTCGATTAGCTGTTTGCTGCAACGGTACTGTAACATTAAAGATGTGCTTGATCTTTATCACTTTGCTCGCTATAAACGTATTGTTCTCCCGGGCTGGCCCCACCATAACCCAGTCCGACTGCCAGCTTGATTGGAACCTGTGTACGGTTAGTAATGATGGGGGAATGTCCTGCTATTGCGATGGTAGTAAACAGCAGCAAGCCTACATTCATCTGACTCACTGCTTCGCAAATGATAATGGACAGTTGACCCCGCGCGTGAAGTATGCAATGAATGAATCTATCACTGGCTGCCTAGTGTTCTAACCGATCCTACATAGTGGTGGGTTCCTATCCAATCGTGACGGGATTAAGGGCTCGTGCGACATGGGCGAAGCCGCCCCCCGGCCGCCAATGCTTCAAGCAACTTGCAAACCTAATAATCAGCTGACATCAACCGATATGGGTATGTATGGTCTCTATATCGCCAAATTATCCCACTGGGACACAATTTTCGGGTTGTGCTGACTGCTGAAAACAGAGGGAGTGATATCTTTCAAAGGTGACAAGTTGTCTTGCTTTGGACAGACTTGGAGTGATGCGCTATAAGTGACACATTTCTGATCAAATAGGGGTTCCTGTGGTCAACGTGCTGAAGACTACAATGCTGCTACGCGCTCTCATTTCAGCTTCGGCTTAGCTGTTTTGGCGGTCCCGCTGGTTCTTCGTGCTGAGGACGCCACGACCTCGATTGACATCGCTAGACGCACAGAGAGCGCAGAGCACGTGAACTACGCAGACGCTACTATCAATATTGCGAAGCGAGTCAACCAGACCAGCTTTTTTGCTGATATTGCTTAGAGCCAGTTCATAGTCAGGATTCACTAACGTGCCAGAAAGCATTGCATTGTCATGCCATTCGCCAGTAGATGGGGAATACGATCTTGATTATATATCTTAATATCTCGTTATGATGTGTTTTGGTTGTTGAGATGTTAAGTGGTACTGTATTGCAGCTACGATGTGTCATAAGTGTCCAACTACTCGGTATTCCGCTCATGATGCCGGAATGTATACGTTAGTATAGTCGATTATAGTATTTAACGACGAGAAGGAAACTTGAAGAGCAATCCTGTTAGGTGAAATTCTCCAAACAGTATAGCAAGCTTTATATCCGGTTTGTACTTTCGAGGAGACCGATAATGTTTGCTGCGATAAACGCCTCCCGTTCGTCAGCACTCGGATTTGTAGATTGGTCAATATCTACTGGTACAACATTTATGCCTAGTAGCCAAGAGTGTCGTAAAGCTTTCAGTAATCTAACGAAATAGAGGCGCCTTTCGTCGTAGGAACTTCGACCGCGAAGTTTGTGATGCCTGATCTTCTAAGCGCAGGAATGTTTGATAGATTTTACTGTAAATAGTTACTGTGAAATTCGCTCCTCCCTCCTCGAATCCACTTCGGAAGCCATAGTCACGGAGTTTATTTATTGGCTGAATGATTTCTCCCTATCAATATCCTTATTTATATGAAGTTTTAAGCTAATTGATAAGCCAAGGATGACCCTGGATGCTGCCTGATTCAAGAAATGTGTATGGTGGCACTGCCCACCTCACCCCTATACCCTTTTTTATCCCCATCGGTAGACTTAGAATACAGATGTAGAGACCTGGCTTTTTGTATGACGAACCCCATTCCAAATCCGTAGTAGTGTTCGAAAAGCTGTGAAATCCATTTGATTTAATGGAAGATCTAATGTGAGCCCATGCCCTACCATGTCCTCTTGATCATTCCCAGTAGCTAGAGACAGCGGTGTCTGTCCCTGAAGATTCCTGGCGGACATATTAATGCCATCAGTCACGGTCAGCCACTTCACTACCTCATCATGCGTTCTATGCGCTGGTAGACATAACGGCTTCTTTCCATCAAGTCAATGTAAAGAGTCTAATTTGACTTCACTTGCTCCGAGGAGTAGTTTGACTATATCATTACGGCCGTTCTACATTGCACGAATCAATGGAGCCTCTTTTGCTGATGTTCTAGACCTTGGAACAACGCCAGCTGTTCATGAAGTGGCTTGTTTACTGCCCCGTAGTCGTTCAAACCGCCCATGAGAAAGGTGTCCAGCTGGCATATCTGGTAAAAGGATGAAAATAAGAGAGCTAAGTTTACGTCTCTAAATACAACTTATCGAAAACAGATAGGCAAATATTTCGAAGGTGGAATTAGCAAAGAACGGTATAAGGGCGAATGTATTTTGCACGCATGTTTCCTGATTTGAGTCATATTCACATTCCTATACATCCTTTTGTGAATGATAATTTCCTGCGACGGTCTGCATTCCACAAGCGTCGAGTTCAAGGATCTCTTAGTAGATGCCTCTCAGTCTCCTTTACGGACATAAGTTTTGTTCATCACGGACCAATTGCACGCAATTGACAGAGAAAGAGCAATACAGACGCAAAGCAACACAACCAAATATCCTGCAAGCATCTCTCCAGCCCACCGCGGGCTACTACTACAGTACCAGGAAGCTATACCGACCAAAAGCTCGACGCAAGCCATGTCCAAGAGGACCACTGGGGTCCATACACTTGCAACATGGAGTCCGCTTCGTGGAGGAGATGCCGTCTCATCAAATTCAAAAAGCAGCATCAACAGAATAACCGCTGATATGATGCTTGTCACAAGCGCGCTACATAGAAGCCCGTGGGATAGTTGAGCCGGCGCGTTTTGGGCCGGATGAAACTCAGGAAATGTCAAGGCATTTACGGCCAGAACACCCAGAAGAGCTGCGAGAAAAAAGAACCATTTGTAAAGCCGCTGAAGCCTATCGGTAATTCTCTCGGTCTCCACAACACGATGCGTGGCATCAGGTGTCGTTTCTGGAACCATGATGCTTACTCGTGTCAGTCATACAAGGAGGAAATTAGTGGTACCACTCGTATTGGTGAGAACTCACAGATTCTGGTCGTGGGTCCGGCTTTATGAGAGTGAACTTCGTAAATTGATGAGGATGTGCAGAAAACTAGTGTCTGGGGACAGGTAGAGAAAATATGAATTCTGAGAGGCTAGGAAGTCAAAATTCGGAACAGGCTGAAGAGCAGCAGAGAAGGGACAGGTCGCAAGCAATAAAAAGTTTAAAGAGATGGTCCCGATAGCACGACTTGTAGAAATCATCTCTCTTTATAGTTTTGAAGTAGGATTGTGTTACCCAATGGCATTCAACAGCTTGCATAATACCCAATAAGAATTTCTGTATGCCTCTCAGAAAAGCATCCAATTATTATCAATTTATATCGTGATGAAGCTATCGAACTGGATGTTGCGTTAAATAGAGTGAGATTACAGACTACCTCTGCGGCCGCCACCCCACAACTATCTCAGGCCCTTAGGCTATGAATACGCATTTCGTAGATTGCGATTCCGATTTGAACTTGACTATCTTGACTATCGGTGAGTAGAGTGCCTCGTAGGTCATGAATATTTAATCGGTTCACAGAGGTTGGGTTCATAATACATCGAGTTGTTCAGGTGTGGCGGCGCAAACAGCCGTCAACCAGGATAGAATAACACTGCTGGAAAGGAATCATTTCTCGCTCCAGCATCGCAGGGAGTGTACAAAGATCCTTGATAGCAAATGATCACACAGGTAGCGGAAATGGCCAAAACTCCAGAGGATTCCTTGCAAAGTACCAGAGATCTTTACAACAGAGTCGTCGAAGACCACGGAGAATCGCTGCGGTAATAAAAGTTACTCAATGGTTGCAGCAGAAGCCCCAGATATTGCAGATGCCACTTTTTTCGTTAGTGATGTCAGGCTTTACAATGATCTTGGCGGTGAATATGAATCGAAAATCCGTCTTCATCGATTGCGCATGCTGAGGCAGTCGATCGAACTAACGCTTCCGCGAGGTGTGTGGGTAAATGGGGTTATCCGTCCATCCGTCCACCCTGTCATCGGACGCTGATATCAATATCAGACCCTTTCCAGATAGCGCGGTCGAGATCCAGATCATTATTCAACAGCCGGTACTGTACACTTTCAATAGATGTTTAAGATTTTGAAAATAGGTTGTTCTATTCTTCTAGCTCTAGAACGCGGCAGGAATGACACGGTAAAATGCATTAGCGGTCAGATTAAAGGATTATTGTGGACCGAATGAGCACCGTGGAGCCTAATCACGTAAGCAGTTGCAGTTGAGCTACTATCGAAATGAATAGAGTACAAAGATTTCCGACAAACGATAAACGAAGGAAAAATGATAAAAAAACAAAGACAAAGCTCGTGACGATCAAGACGAGGGGGGCTGAAAAGAGGGGATGATGAACGGAGACCATTGAGACTGATCATCGCCGCAAACCTCCACCGGCGGCATGCGCCTCGTCCATCGTTCTTGGTGAGCTTTCCAGCTCTCGTTGAGATACTTTTTCACTGATTCCCGGTAATCCTTATCTGCTCGAAGGCGGTGATTTCCCTTGCGTTCGATTACCGTAACACCCGGAGCCTTGCGAATAGACATCTCGACCGAACCAACGACATTCTCTTTGGTCGCAACGATCAATAGGGAAGCTTCACCTTTGGTAGGGTCTGGGACCAGCTCTGACATCAATCCCGTGAACACTTCCCCGTCATAATCCTCAATAAAACGACGTTGCTCATCGGTGAGTTTGATCGATGGGTCATCAAGAATGACGCGCTTGCCGCAATTTGGAAACGGATTGCGATGTCTAGCCCAGCGCCAAAGGATCCCCCACCATCCAGCCAAGTCCAGCTTTGCAATTCCTTGAAACGGCGTATAGCCAATCAGTCCTCCCCGTGGGCGCATTATAGGGCGCGTTATAGAGGCCGCAAAAACGCCGAAAGATTTTCCTACCGGCGCAATGTCGAAATCATTGAAGGACTTTGGAAGATCTCCTATTCTGAGTGACTTGATTTGGATCTGACCGTTTTCTTTTATGACTGCACGAGGGTCAAATTCGGCCCATTGAATCTCAGATGGACTCAACAATTCTCGTTGCAAGGTTTGAACAATGGCCCTCAGCCATGGCTCTAAGAGACGGTGGTGCTTGTCGGTCATTGGCTCTGAGCGGTCTTCATCGAAACTCCCATAACCGGGAGTGTTGACCAGTATCATGTGAACTTCATCTCCATGGTAAGACCAGAAACTTTCCATTAATGCTCCGACATTATTCTTGTTTCCTGGGAATCCCACAATCATTTGGTGACGGTCGGATGTCACTAATGGAGGTAGATAGTAGACTTTGAATGATGAAAAGGGGGATTTTAAAGTGAGGAGAATTGGTTGCCGCTCTTTGTTCATGTCGAGATCCCAAAGATGTGGACGTGGCGACCATCGAGCTCCGAAACAATCTGGCAAGATAGCCCTCGCAACCACACGTTCGAAATGATATGTTGATTCATGTAGAGTATAGGAAACGATAAGAATGACCAAAAAGGTCAAGATATAGACCAAGCCCATTTCCGATGTACGGTATGAGCAAATCGGTCGGAGTATCCTTGTGGCAGCGGGAAAAGAAGGAATGATATATTGTTCAATGTCCTGCAGAATGTCGAGGCACGACCAACAAACTCTGGCGAAGCCAAGTAACCTGAAGAGCGGGAAAATAAAGAAAGGGAAGTCTTGGGCTAAGGCTGCAGCCTCCAAACCTTTGGTCCAGCTCCCTCGCATCCGAGGCTCATCACTAGAGTAATTTCTATTATTATTCAATTATTATTTGTGCTTTTCTATTATTATCTGTGTCTGCACAGGCTATAATTTTCATGTCATCGGCGCAATAGTGGCTGTGCAATGGGTTTGGGTTGGCCAGGTTGGGTGCGACCGCCACCCACGATCCGCTGACGGCGCTGGTGTGCTCTGACGGGTTTGATTTCTTGTGGAGATTCTGCTTCTGCTCGTGTTTGACCTCCTGTAGCTCGGCATTGAAGAGTGCGGTTTTGCGGTGGATGATTCTCCATCAGCTCCTCATTAAGCCTCCACACCTCCCCGGGGCACCAACTGGGATGCAATACCGACACGCTTTCAGCCGATACCTTCCCACCGACTACACGAACTGTCAAATCCGTAAAGCCCTGTTAAGCGCATTGGCCACGCCAGATGCCAGCTAGTTGATGCGAGTGGAAGACAAACTCGCGACACCACGCTTTGGAGACGTAGTACTGTACATTGGGAAGGATCATCAGCGGAGGCTGTGCCGTAACGTGAGATAACGAATTCAAAAGTGTCACTAAGTAAAGACAGGAAAGCCAAATTTGGACTCCAGAAGTAAAGTATTTCTGCAACACCTAATTACATTACGGTAGTGATCGTGACAAAGCTGTGACAATCTGTGGTAACACCTGTCGTAACAGATGCACGAGCCAGATCGCCTGAAGTATTCAGAATCAAACCTCAGAGACAAGACTTTCACGAAGGAAAGTGAATATCAATGTCAGTACTTCGGTCAATACAACTGCCTGAAGTTGTTAGCCTTCTAAGATTAGACATTATTGACGCTGTAACCCTGGAGCTAAAAATGATTCTTGTTCCGCAGTTTATCCTCTATTCCGGTTGATGGCTATTTGCGCAGCCACCTCTTGATCAACCCGATGTATTATTGACTTGGGAATTCATAGCATTCAACTGGAGAGGCAGAGGATAATACACACATATTTCCATATGATAATAATTCCATTTGATGAATCTATCTCCATATGTGTTGCAGGTATCTGTAAGGCGATCCGGCACATCACACGTTACTCAGCTTAGAAACAACATGAAGACAGTTTGATCACCTATGTAGACGAGTCTCCGTGATACTTTTTTTTTGATCTTCTAATTTCTTTTGTTGAAAGCATTGTTCGGCATTACATTGCGATGAGATAGAATCAACGCTTGCCCAACGAATGCATGATATCAGCTTTCAAGCCTAGTAAAAGACGGCAACACAGATTGTTGGTTTGGAACCAGAAGGAACAAGAACAATATAGCGGGACGAGCGGTCATTTCCGAGACTTGGAAACTGATTGTTTTCATCCCTACAGTATAACTTGGTACCGTAGTCGTCGTGTATTTGAACAGAATTTTATCCAATTGGAGGGAGATACAGAGCCCTCGGCTGGCTTTTCCTGAGAAAACAAAGAGTTGTGGTAGTGTTCTATCTTTCATAAGAATTCGGTAGCTGAAAGAGTCTTAAGCGTCAATGGAAGCAGAGCCGAATCTGGACGCGTCATTTCTTCGGAACTTAGGGTCTTGGTCAACCGCTTTCGTCCTGTCATTGGGGTTTAAAAGAGTATACCTATTTTCAGATATCAAAGCTAATAACGGGCGGCACAAGCCTGACAAAATTCGTTCACTGGACATAATTGGGTCTGCCAACTTCACATTCAAATTGAGCCCTTGCATCTATTGTGAAATCTTGCAATTATCAGTACTCCAGGTCTTGGTGCTTGTCATTAACTCATAATCTACCATCTAAGACGACCGAGGTAACAACTGATATCTTATTGTGATGGGGATTTTTCTTATTGCCATCGTAGGCATTCTAGTGGTAACGGAGGCTTCTGCTGGATCTGATATTATCCTAGCAAAACGACCCGGTTTCGCTACGTACTATTATGACGTTGAGAATGTAAGGGCTTGTGATACCTCTTTCGAGAACCAAAACAAAGGCGGGGTCACCTGTAGCAATCCGTTACTAACCCTGAACGATCTGGCAACTAATCATATCGTCGCGATGAACGTTACTCAGCTGCGGGCCAACCCATCCCGTTACTGCGGTAAAAGGGTCATAATCTACAAAAACGGTAGAAGGTTCGATCTCGGCCTTTTTATCGCAGATGGTTGTGAACGGTGCAGTGTCGGCTCTACTTCGGGAGACACATGGAACCCCAACGGCACTTCAGGTGTTGACCTTAGTAAATGGGCTCATGATCAGATCACAGGCAATGAAGCTTGTCATGATGGTTATACCCATATCGAATTTGAGATACTTGACGAGACGTTGCTCAGCTTCGAAGGCGTCCTTCCGTCCCCGATTCCAGTCTCCACTTCAAGTCAGCCACCCAGGCACTCACCTTCTGCTCTAAACCAGGGGACAAGTATAGTCCGTTCTACAGTTTCAGCCACCACAACTTCGTCAGCTTGTTCATAAAGGAATGTGTGGCAGTGAATTAACAATGTTTTGGAAGAATGCATTTATCTCATCTCTACGTCAAGGGCTACTTGCCGGGATTTTTTAACATGCTAGGGTAAACCCACGCGTTGTTTCGAAAGAACGGGGCTTTTCCCTCAAGAGAAATAATCTTATTCCTACCTGGGCAAGCGATGAGGCATCCGCTGAACGAGAGTCCCAATTGTTGCCCCAAGTTGCGATCTCTCTAGCCTTCAACACGGTATGCATCAGCTATGCAAAAGTTGGAGCAAAGAGGATTCTCATTCTATGATAAATAAAACGAGAATAATACATACATTCTGAGGAAGACTTCGACGCATAAACTTTGATGAGCCTATACCCACACAGACTGTTCCACACAGCCGGCTGCATTCGAGCTTCAAAGCAGAGAGTGGAACTTCTTGTAGACGATACCAACGTATCTTTATAGTACAGCAGTATCTTTCTGTGTAGAGTAATTGCTGATTGAGTCCGTGACATCTTACAGAAAGTATAGTTACCTAAACTTGACAATTTGTCGTAGTTAAATCCCGAACCAGACTTCGATCACCCTTTGCATCTCATAAAGTAATCACAATCGATATGATCCAGAAGACCCAGAGCGCAGCGTTGCAATTCTCACTGACCCACTTTATTGGCTGCTCGGGAATCACTCTGAATATTCATTAAATAATTCTGTCTAGTCCCTCCAGTGGGCACCTAGTAGCCGAGCAGCCACATAAATATATTTAAAGGCAAACCAGAATCACTTTGATCATCGTAGGTGACTGGAGAATGCCTTATAATCTCGGCCACCGGAGTTCCCTCATTACCCAGTTTTGAATATATCGCCTTCCAGTTTCTTCATCAGTATGCCTGATCAAGTGATGAAAATCCTGATGTTGCATGGTCAGTGAGAGGATTACTTGGTTTGAGGCGGTCCAAGGGACTGAGTAGTGACTGACCATGGACTAGGGCATGACCAATCGGAACAAATATTTAAGCCCAAGGCTAGGTATATTGAAGCGGCATTCCATTCCTTTGCGCAAGAGAATGAAGTCGTATTCGAATTCAAATATCTGTCGGGAATATTGCCTGCGCGCCCTGATCAACCTGATGGTCACGAGAAGTGGGTATGGGGGTATGGGGATCCGAGTGACGGTGAGATTACAAACATCGAGCTGTCCACTCAGCATATCCTTGCGACTTTACACCAAAAAGGTCCATTTGTAGGCATTGTTGGGTTCTCATCCGGAGCTGCAATGGCCGCTATTATTGCATCGCATCTTGAGAAGAGAAGCATGTTCAACGATCAGCCATGGGTTGTATGTTTACCTTCCCTTGTTGGTCTTCAATGGTGGATGGCAGCACACTTATGAAAAATCTCAAAACAGACAGAGCATTCGGCACTTCGTTTCGCGATTTGTCTCAGCGGATTCCGGCTAGGACCTATTTATGACAAGTTCTATGAACCTACGATCCGTACGCCAATATTATTAGCGATTGGATCCTACGACCCGGTCATTACAGCGGAGGACTCACATAGTCTTGCCAAACACTGTCAGTTTGCGCGAATTTTTGAGTTTTCTGGTGTCCACTATGTTCCGCAATTCAAAGAGTCTCGCGATTTCCGCAAGACCCTTAATGATTTCCTGGAGGAGTTTCTTTTTGATCCTCCAGCACAGCAAGCTCCAAGGTTGAGCACTCAAGCTGGTGCCATTGTGCGGAGTCCCTTCAACACAAGGCCTTTCTTGAGAACGTACCGTCGACGAAGGGAAATCGCGGTAGCATCTGGCTTTACAAAGCGATGGGCCATCTCCGCACTGGGGAACCAAGTGGCTGCAAACTCAATCACCTCAGCCTCAGTGTGAAACGATTTGAAATGACTCTGCTGTAGTACATCAAGCATTGAGCCTGATCTGATCAACAAATGACCAAGCTTGGTGAATTGGAACTCGGGAAGGGCGAGTCACAATGTCATGCCAGTCATTGACCCTGGCTAATTATCGGCAGGAGAGAGCGGCCAGTATTTTTGGTTGTTATGCTAGATAGAGTGAAGAGAATGAGCCAGTCGGAATTAGATTATCAATATATGAAAAAGGCCTTCGGAGAATCAATTATGCTTTTACTCCTTGGTTCCTGATTCCTAGACTGACTTCACCACTGCTACAGTATCCTTTCAATGTAAAACCAGTGCTCTATGTTTCTTTGCTCGTGGTACGATCTGTCTCGTCCCGAACCCAGTCAGGTTCTTGTTGCCTGTCCTTTGTATGTGCCACTGCACGTGCTCTGCTGCCCATCGTCATCCTTGTAAACTTTTGCTGATGGCTACTCACTCGCGGCCTACGACTTATACTTCAATAATCCATTTTGCTTCCTAGACTCTTGCTAGGTCAACCATGGCTTGGTTGGATAGGCTTGCGCATGTGGTGGCTGTAGATTTTCAGTGGACATCTTTGTCAAATTTCGGCAAAGACCTTTTGTTTCAGTATCTCTGAAACACGCCGGTCTTTAGTTTGATGGCATTTGTAGCTCTTAGAAATGAGAAAGTCAGTAACGACGAAGGATTGAATGTGAATCCAGATGTGATCTCTATATTTTTCTTCCTAGGCAGTTTGCGTGCCCCTACCTGGCCTGAAGAAAGAGGGGCTTTTGCTTGCGCCACTATCTTAGTCTCCAGACCATCTATTTTTGGGGCTGTGTGCCCAAAGGCCATAGGACGAGGCCGATAACTTACACAACGAGTATAAGCTGTCAGAATGGACCCGATGTCGGCGTGTTGTTTGCATTTCCACTCGATGGTTTAAGACCACATAACCGAAACTGGAACTGTTTGAGGAAATCAAGATAGGCAACGAACAACGGAAATATTCTCAGCTGTTAGGCCATCTGATCACAATACATATGATTCAGGTTGCTGGTGAAGAGTGATAGTGCTTGTGCCTACCGACTCTTTGTTGATGAACACGGCAAATGTAAGACTGAAATCTGAGCAGGGAGTGATCTGAGTTGAAGGGCTGTCCTCAAGGGCATGAAAGAGGCACCATTCTCTGAAATGAAAGCACTACTACGCCCGGCTACCCTCCTCTTGGCTGAGACCCTCCCCCGCTTGCACCGCTTCCTTTTCTGCACGGTTTTCGGTTAGATCAGGACTGCTGAACTGGACTAAGAAACCGGACAGGCACCCACTCCCTGACCCCCACTGTCTGCCTTGGACTATAGCCTGGCTTACGACCGCCACCTATCTGCCCGACCTACGCGATTCGCGCTGCGGCATCTGCAGTTCGACTCAGCCCTCCCCACTCACGTCTGCCTTGCAAGGTAGTGTGGCTGGACGGCTTTGAAACTCTCACAAGTATATGGCTGTCAAGGCTGAATCAACGAGGAGGATCTGCCTCACTTATCAACTGCCTATGGCTTCAAGGATGTTCTATAAATCTATAGTGCCTACGTTCACTCTTTGATACTCAATTGCGATCACATTAGATTCCGATAGCCATCTCAGGTATCCGGAAGCTCATTTTCTTGTTCAATCTAGAAGATAACTCTACCCTAAATCTATCAAAATGCGTACGTCCCACGCTGTTTTGTTTTCTTTCCACTCGCTGGATGCTACCCTTATTTCGAATATTGGGCCCACATTGTCGTCCTCCAAACTGACAAATATCCATAGACCGCTATCTCCGCCAGGCACACAAACTGGCATGGTACGGCCAGGATGGCAAACCTTCCACATATAATCCCTTCAAGAGAAACGTACCACGCCCCATCATCTCCGTCGAACTAGGAGAGCAATTCCCGCACTCATGGAGCATGGGCGACCTCCGCCTCCCAGATGAGCCTACTCAGCAAGCCGGCTTGGATGGTGACTTTCCGAGACCCGCCCATGCATACACATTTCCAGCCGAGGGGACTGGCAGCTTGAAGGCAGGGAGAACTTCTCTCAAAACATCCATCAACTGCGAGACGGACGTCTCCATAGCGCAGGCAGAGGGTGAGATAACCCAGGACGCTGAGATAACCCAGGACGCTGAGATCCAACGCCGGCGACATGGAGATTTCGATGGAATTTTGGGATCTGCCGGTGAAGTAGTTCAGTCATCGGGGGTTGGCGATGGGAAGGACCTTGATGGCCCCAAATTCTCTTTTGGGAGTCAAATCCGCGCGACACTGTTCAATTCTTGGATTAATGTTCTCCTTGTCGCAGCACCTGTGGGTATCGCGCTACACGCGACAAAAGCGAATCCGATCGTGATCTTCGTGACTAACTTTATTGCAATCATCCCGCTTGCTGCAATGCTGAGTTATGCGACCGAGGAAATTGCTATGCGATACGGTGAGTTGATTGGTGGGTTGCTGAATGCATCGTTCGGTAATGCGGTCGAATTGATAGTCGCCATCCTTGCATTGGTCAAGCACAAAGTCGTCATCGTACAGACCTCGTTGATTGGGAGCATGCTGTCAAATTTGTTGCTGGTAATGGGCATGTGTTTCTTCTTTGGCGGTATGAATCGCGTTGAGCAGCATTTCAACCTCGTCGTTGCGCAGACAGCAATTTGTCTGTTGGCGTTGGCTATGGCCAGTGTAATGGTTCCTACCGCACTGTATTCGCGGTCGAATGCCGACCACGCAATGACGACATCTTCTGTGTCGCGAGGTATGTTCTTATGACTACATGACCAAGCCTCAGTTTTTGAAGCCGGAGTGCTGATGTTCACATTCCAGGAATATCTCTCCTCCTTCTCATCGTTTACCCCGTTTATCTCTTCTTTCAACTTAAATCCCATGCAGACCTGTTCAACGAGCCGTCGAAGAAGGTTGAGAAGCGCAGTAGAAAAGCCGGCGAGGCTGGGGTTGGCATCGCAGAGATTGGAGCTGCCATGGCCAGAGCCCTGGGCGGCTCACAGGCTCAACATATCAACGTGCAGTACACACAATATGAGCCGGAGCAGCCACAGTTGTTGGTTGAAGTCGCCATGGGGACGCTAGTTGCTTCGACGGTTCTGGTGGCCTTGTGTGCCGAATTCATGGTTGACTCGATTGACGCGCTCACCGCGACCGGGCACGTCAGTGAGACCTTTGTCGGTCTGATCTTGTTGCCAATTGTTGGTAATGCGGCGGAGCATGCTACGGCGGTCACGGTCGCATGCAAAGACAAAATGGATTTGGCAGTAGGTGTGGCAGTTGGCTCGAGTATACAGATCGCATTACTGGTTCTCCCGCTAATTGTGATATTGGGATGGATCATTGGAGTTGATGATATGGTAGGTTGAGCTTGAACCGGTTCAGAAACCTTTTTGTGATATAATGTCTCGATCAGCGCTGACCTTGCTTCCTTGCAGACCCTTAACTTTGATGTGGTCCAAGTAACCGTGCTTTTTTTGGCTTTTCTGTTGGTCACCTTTGCAATTACGCACGGGAAATCTAATTGGTTTGCGGGTGTCCTGCTCATCGGGCTCTACGTAATACTGGCAATTGTAGCTTGGTTTGGTTAGACAAGCGGCAGAGCCTGTTGTCCACTCTTGCCCTAAGCTGCAGGATCATTCTTGGAATCTAAGTATCGCCCAGCCGTGATCTAACATGGAGACCCGGACTGTATATTCAGTGAGCACAATACGTCAAAAAGATCCGAATGCCCATGTCCCAAATTACCTACAACACCGTTCAACCGAAGTGGGAAAAAGAGGACACCTGACTTTATCTTAACATTTCTATATAAGAAGACCACTAGAAACAAAGTGTATTGAAATGCATTCCACAGAGGCGGCTACCTTCACCCTTGGATCAGTTATCATGAGTATTCTCACTCTTTCATAACAGCCTCTCAGCGGCCCATAATTCTCATCTGCTGTAGAGTACGCTTTTGTACTGACCCACAAGTATTTGTGGTATCAGCGGAAGCGGTCGCGCTAGGCTCTGTACTGATCGTTGTAGACTGAGGGGTCTGGCTGTCATCGATACTCGGGGATGAGATTGGAGTCTGCACCACAGAGGTTGTCTGATCATCCAGATTCACTGGAGAAGTGGATTTCGGGGCTGGACTTGTAGTAAAGGTGGAGGCTGGCGTCGACTCAACCCCTGATGAAGCAGTGGGAGTAGCGAGAGATGAGGTCGCCGAGCCTTGACTATGCTGTTCTCCACACATCAACTTACCGTTTGCGGTCCCGCACATCTCATCTAGAGTATAGTCAGCAATCTTTACAGAGCTGGAATAATGGTATCACGCGAACCCACCTAAGTTCACCATTGTTATTGTTGGTCCGCTGCAGTTTGCCGCGAGTATAGTGTCAAACAGACTCCAGCCGTGGCAGGAATGTTGTGCAGCGCCGCTTAACGCATGACTTGTTAGTGTTTCTTTCAAATTCCCAACATTCAAGAGTGTACATACTTAGCTCCAAATTTCAACTGCCCCTGGTCATTGACAAGAAAGCTCTCAAATTCGGCGTTGCAGTCCAAGTATTCGCCGGAGAAAAGGCACTGGCAATAAATACCAGGGTTAGACTTGTCATTACCAACATTCACGATTCCGCAGTACTTGGTCGACTGAGAATATCCCCCGTAGAATGAGTCGGCAGTTACTCTCTGGACAAGCCAGAGAGAGACAAAAAGTGAAAAGATGTACATCTATGCTAAAGTCTGTTGTGTGAACTGACTGAATGTGCAGTCGACATGTTTACATTGACGGGTTTTATTGCTGTTCAATGAAGAGATCCAGCTTCAAAACCTGGCATGGTCTAGAATTGGAATCGCTCTCTTCTGCCATTTTTGTGCGTACTGAAGTTTTCTTACTTCCCAAAATTGAGTTTCAGGTGGAAATAAAAGAATTGATGTGAATGATTATCTCAGTCGTAATCAAGTCCATGCACGTGCTCTTTACATCGCCTATTCCAGACTTACCAATGTAGCATGGAATCCTTGCGCTGTGTAGCTCAAAAATGATAGTCAACCTTATTTCTGTACCTCACATATACGATACCTGTGAAGTGAATCTGGCTCTTCGCCTGCAGGGGAGGAAACTTAGTACATAGTTGAAGCCACTCAAAAGTCTATACCCAAAGCCTAGTTGCCACCCATTCAGAAATTGGCCAAATATGGCACGCAAAAATTGGGAACCCCCCCCCCCGGGCTGAAAGCTTCTAAAAATGGACCACTCTACATATCGATACAAACCCATGTACGATTTAAAACCGGGTTAACTAGGCTAGCAAAACTAAGACTAATCCCATTCAATCCAGATATGATTACTCCCGTACTTTGGATCATGTTTCGGTTTTGATGGTGAATATAAACGCACGAGACCTGTAATGTTGTGTATTAATGCCGATCCAAAACTATGTATGCTCAAACATCCTCACTCGGCAAATAATCAACCCTTAAAGCGATGCAAAATGGCGCGAAACCTGAATTCATGGAGGAGTAACATTATTGCACACATGATAAGCAGCAAGAAAAGCCTGAATACATTACAATTGACCAAACTGGCAAAGTGTAGAGAGCGTTCTATTAACATACGCAAGAACATGCGGTTGTTCGGCAGTCCCAATTTTCCAGCAAGGGCAAGAAGTAGTACATACAAAATCAAGTCATGATGCCTTCGCAAAATCAATCAAAGCAGAAATATCATCACCGCTATGACCAGCCGTCACTGCCTTCTCCATCAGTTGCTTCATCGGACGAATGAAATCAGCGGAGACTTGCTGGGCCGCACTGGCATCAATAATATTCTGGATAGCAACTAATTGTATAGCGATATTCGATCCCTCACTGGCATACTTTCCCTCGTCAATCTGCTTTGCCATCCCTTTGGTGTACTCGGTCATTGCTCCCAGCCAAGGAACCAAGAGGTCCGTGAACTTAACGGCGGGGGTGCTCGACCTCACGAGCGCAGTTGCATGCAGGAAGCCCGAGAAGAGACCATACATACCGCTAAGTAGAGCCAGGTCATGCAGGGATGCAGCGCCCGCATCCTCACTAAGGAAGATACACTTAGCTAGCACCAACAAATCGGGTTCGTCGGCCTTATATGCTTGTTGTGACCCGCTGTACAGAATCAGAGCACAAGGTGAACCAATCATAGAAGGAGTAGCCATAATTCCGCCGTGGACGTATCGAGCACCGTGGCCAACGACCAGGTCTGACAGCTTGCGGGCTTGGTCAGGTGTTCCATTTGTTAGATTGACAATTGTCTTGCCTTGGAGTTGGTCAAGGGCGCCGGCGAGGGTTGTTTGGACAGCAGCGTTGTTGAGGAGGCAGATAATGATCAGATCGCTTGTTTTGATTCCATCCACCACTGTCTGGGCAAGATTTGCGCCCTTGTCGAGCAAAGGGCCTGCTTTTTCTGGAGATCGATCCCATACAGCGACTTCGTATTCCTCTTCGAGAAATCGAGCGGCCAGGGCTGTTCCGTAGCCCCGAGACCAAGGACGCTAACGGATGACATTGTAATGAGACTTTGAGAGGGAAGGCCGACCAAGCTGCTGATTGATACATGCACTCTGGGAATCCAGATTTGAGGGTCCGTTCTATATCGATCTGTATGCTTGGCAGCCAAGACTCGCTTGGAAATCGGGGTGGATATATCCCGCACCCCACAAACCAACAGGAGAATGCCAAGTGCATTGACTCATGTCGTCGTATTCCCAATACAAGGCATTTTAGCGACAGAAGCTAGAAGTACAGGTAACGCAATCCACGGCCGAGCCGGTCAACCCAGGCTTTGAATTATAGACTATTATCTCTTTCTTAACAGTATCATGAACAGGAGTGGTATTATTACAGTCTGGTACACAATGTGTTATTTTACTGTATCATGTGACTAGGGTTTGAAAGAGCATTTCCATGTTTTCGTCATGAAAGCAAAGTCGGGCATTTCTGTAAGCTTTTTTCTCTCGGACTCGGGACGACATGAATGATATCCTTTCCTGGCCACCTGAAATGTCTTCTCCAACCTCTTCCACTAGCTATTCAGATCCCCATTCCCCAAATGAGGAAGCGGCTGGAAATTCTTCTCAAACCAAGTCAGATCCCATTCGCTCCTTCCAGTGGCGTTAGATCTGTCTGCGAATAAGATATCCCGATCAGAGGAGTTCGCACAGGCAAAATTGCTCGAGTATCTGTGACTAGGCCTCGACATAGGTTAGGACCTGGAGTCGGACCATTCAGATTTCAGGTTCTAATCTGTAGAACTACGTTAGTACCGGACCTATGATATTACAAGTTTTCTCACTTCGTCCTTGCGGGGATGATGTGCATAGTTCTGCCAAGTAACCCCCTCTTTTAGCTGATTGCTGATTCTTTCATGTTTAATTTACGTCTGTTCTTGTTTGGACATCAATTAGGCCTCGAATATACCTTTATAGTGTATGAAACTATAGCAATGTTGACCAGGAGCGGGTGACCATTCTTCGATAAATGTAGGACAATTTCCAACAACTCCATTCCTTACTGCGGAGTGAGGTATTGCTGGTCTACAGCTTGCTCCTTTTAAGAAATCCTACCATGGCCACGATCTCTTAACCTAGAGACTGAGATACCGTTAGGCTTCGATGGGGCGGAGTAATTTTCAGGCTGCGGAGACCTTTCGTTAAGGGCGAGTACAGTTGTTACTGGATCTTTATACTCGGTTATGAATAGAACTCAGAGCGCTTGGTGTGAGGCAAAAGTAAAACTGGCTCTGGAGGTGGGCAACACGATTGACCTGAGAAGCACGTGGCCAAGAATCTCTAAAATTAGAATTCCTTACATTGCATGTTCATTACGCTTTGTATGTAATAGACTGTACAGGCAGTGAGTTGCCCTAAGAAGTTCATGTGCGAACAAACTATGAATTATTTCGGGCGTGAACAGTGTATAGTGTATTTCTGTTATATTTTGATCGGCAGTAATTTTTTTAAGAACTGCAACCTTAAGAAATGGTTGGCTGAGTACCATTGAAGCTTAGCATAATTTGCCACAGAAACCTTGATAGGGAAGGGAAGGCAACTTGCGACGAAAAATGCCAACAGATCAACATTGTTGTGGGTAAAATCGGAACAGTGTACAATAAAGATATAATAATTTTATTTCGAATTGAGAGCAGTTGGTTGATTATTCCGGCGTTGTTCTCCAAAGTACCTCAATCTTGGGCGGGTGCGAGGGGACACGGTTGCCAGAAACGGTTGCGGTGGGACGCATATCAATCTCTCACTGGAACTAAAATGGCATGGGGCATCTAAGGTAAATCACAGGAGAGAAGGTGAACGTCAATACTGGAGGTAGGATATGGGATGCCGCCTAAGTTACCCAAGCAGACTTCCCTGGCTCACCTAACACTGGCCACTCCAGGCACCGACGCTTCAAACGACCGCTAACTAAGCAAGGCCCACCACGTTTAGGGGATGTAGCTGGCATTGTACTCAAAGGGAGCTGCAAGTACATCATTTGTTTTAGTGTCAACGGGAAACCGCTAATGGGATGCGATTCTTTCCCATCAAGAGTAAGCGTGATATGAAGAGATACGTCTAGACTATCAACGTAGTTTAGGCAAGCTAAAGGGGATTTGTAAGGATATGCAATTCCACCGACGACAAAAGACGCTGTCTCCAATGTACTGTGGAGCGACTGAGAAATCGTATCATCTTCGGGCCACCGTGACTGGATCGCGAGGCGGACGCGGTATTGACCTAAAACCGGGTCGTACCGGGGTAGAGAGAGTAGAGTGCAAAAGAAGCAAGATGCCAGCATCGCGAGTCTTAGGCGTCGCGTCTTTGCTTTAGTATCTGGAAGCCCCATATACCGCATTGTTTCTGTCTCGAGCTCTGAGAGCGCGGTAGGGTCGTCCGGTGCAAGTGACTGCGTGGCGATTTCAGGATCTATTCGATAATGCTTACCATCTTGTTCGGCCTTGTCGAGGGTGTTCCAGAATTTTTCATACATAGCGTCTGCGTCCACAGCGGCGCGGACACAAGACTTCACTCGCCGGATCCATTCTGGGAAAAGATACTTCGTCCAGTTGTGAGAACCACCCTGATCTGCGGCCAACAATCGGCCCGTTCCGAAACTCACATGGAAGTCTAACATTCGCGTGACTAGAAGGGAAAGGTCATTAATTTCCATCATCGCAATCCAGGCCGGATTGTTGGCGACAAAAAGACCGTCGAGCTTTTCGTTTAGGGGTTCGAACATCAGCGGAGCAGCGCAGCTGGTTGCAATTCTAAATCATGAAAGGCAAAGTTAGTCACACGGGAAACACGTAATAGGAGATCAAGTAATGGCGTACGCTTGCCAACAAAGGGGATCTTCCCGGTCCCGTGCAATATGCTCGCTACACTTCCCCTCGCAGAGACAATCCCCGTAAGAACGGTACAGGCAAAGTTTTGAATCAAATGTTGTGGTCGGAATCGCTACACGTACGGAACACTCTTGAGTGTCGAGAGGCATCCCTCGCAACGTAACGTCCCCAAATTGGTCTCTTAAGACTTGACAGAGTTGGTCAATATCGTACTGAGCTCCAACTCGATAGAGACGCCACCATCTCTTCACTCGAGCTCTGATACCCCTCTTTTTGGCGAATACGTGCTCAGCAGTTGAAAGAAACATGTCGATACAATACGATAAAGACCATTGCTTGATGCCCCACGCAGTGCCTGTGATAGACCCTGTATCAGTATCTGGGTTAGCTACTAGTATACTCGGAAGTTATCGTGGGCCTGCTCACCACTACTCGTGCACGCGATTAAATCGTAATAATGGTGCGGCAATAGTGCCTTGGGAAGGCCTTCAATTTCAATTTCGCGGAAGGCAACGAGTGGCACGAACCCATATGTTCCGCCGCCGTCGATTGTTGCCACCCGAAATCCAGCCTGTAACGCACGTAGACGCTTCTTGAGATTAGCTGGAGCTCCACAAACAGGGCAGACCCGGAAGTGAGCCAAAGTTGAGCAGTACGAGTGATTAATGGCAGCTCCCGAGAAGCGCCATGCATCCCGCTCACAAATCCCATGGCCACACGGAAAGTAGATAAAAGGCGCCATATCCCAGGGACACAAGGGACACAAGGCTCTCACCCCAGCTTCACGGAGGCCGTTTTGGGCGTCACCTTCTAACGTTGAATTATAGCTGGTCATCCTCAGCGCCACCGCATCGAGAAAACGTTGCAGGGACCGGCGAGGGGCCCAGTCCTCACGCTGGGCAGCGAGACGCCATGCGTCTCTACATAGTGGCCCATAGATAGCTGCAAAGAGCTCGGCGTTCGAAAATCCTACGACTCACTCATGTTTTAGTAGCTGTATGCGGCGGCTTTATTCACGCATCACATTACGTACCTTGTGGTAAAATGGTTCTGTCTTCGAGGAACATTCTTGCAAAGATCGGCGCCACAAACTTTTCAAGGTCGATATTGCCTGGAATAGCCTTGAGCCACTTTGTTAGACCGTTGCGCTTCAAAAGCTCTTGACCGGGCCAGAACTGCCTTCTAAATGCCATCGGAAACCACGTGCCGCGCGCTCTGAACGTCTGGATTGGGGGTATCTGATCTTCTCGCGCGGATGAGGTTTTCAGGGTCAGGTATTCCCCAAGTAGAAACATGATCTCTTCATAAGTCCAAAGATGACCTCTGTCTTTTCGTCTCTTTCTCATAGTAACGATTGAACTCCTGAGGGTTATCAAAATCTCTGCTACAGATCTAATAAGGGGGTGATAAGAATGCACAATCATGCGCTGGACCACGCTCAACATCCACCGTGACCCGGGGTCTTCTTCCACAATAAGACTCCGAAATTGTTCCCGGATGTGTTCCTCTCCTATCTCTAATACGGGGGAGAGATCTTCGATCAGCATGATGAATTGAGGCCCTGCCTGTATGCTGTCCAGCCGGGCGCAGTTCCGAAAGCCGAGCATAGTACGGACAGCATCAGCGATGGTCTGCGCCCTAATGCAAATAACATCGCTGAACTCGAGAGATAGAGTGTGTAACAGTTTAGTAGCCCGGTCTGGGTCCACGGGGAAGGTCTGTTTAGCATAAAACGGTGCAGGTTGAGTCGGACTATTTTGAGATAGCTTCAAGAAGTTACAAATAATCGATTTTCCGAAAGCATGATTGCTTTCTGTATAGATGCCAGGGCCACTGATTTGGATGTCTTCCCAGCCAGCAAATGTTACTACAGCCGGCCGTGATTTCAATCCGACATAGTCGCTAAAAGGTTCAAATAGCTGCAGCAAACCGCTCACGTACCCCGTATCACGCGGTGGAAGAATCACCCACGGCAACATAGCCGATTTGGGGCTTGCTTGTGCGTCGTTAGTAAGGAGAGCAGGTAGTCTATCAGCGACCCAGTCGGGTTTTATCAGAATAGCAACTATACTGCCGATATATTTTTGACCCAAAATGCACGGCTCATCTGTCAGGGAAAATGGACACGCCGGCTGAGGTACACATACCAAATTTGGTTTTAGCTAGGTAAATATGGAATGGGCTTGAAATATGATGCGCATTGGCCTTATTCATATCTTCGAACCTATTTTAGTCTGTGTGCCACTTCGACCTCGAAATCACTTGAGAATCACACTAAGATTTATCTGCATTTCTTCTCCTAGCCTTGAACATTTTGGCTCGCATCTTCAGATATGCCATACGACACGACACCCACACTTCATTTCCGCGTCTACGAACTTCGCTCAGAAGGGGTGAATCTGGGAGTCTCTCGAACTAAGCCTTATTTGTTACAGTCCTCACATATAAGCAAGAGGAAGCTTAGCTCTGCTTACTCCAACTCCGCCAATCATGTCGGTGGCAGAACAAGAAGCCCTGATGGCACTACTTAGTAGGCCAAGATTCTAGGATGCCTTGCAAGGATGCGTTGACGTGTAATACTGTGACCAAGTCACAGGGCTGGACGATATTCAAAAATCTCCAACGATACGTCTCTTCCAGGAGAATAACTCCATTGACAATGTCGAAAAAATACAAAATCAAAACCAATCTCTTCGAGGAGAAATTGACTCACTTTACCGTCACCATAACCTCTGCTTTCAACGACGGCCCCTTGACCAACTCTTAGCCTCGGATTAATATCACCACATTCGTATCAGTTTGCCGTCAGGATCCTCGCCGCTTTTTCACCGCGTATTATATTTACTAAGCCCAACCACACTAGGATGCTAGTAAATAGGATAGCTTTGTAAGCTCTATTAACACGAGGTTCGAATGCCTATTGATAAATTCAACGCCTCCAAAACTTGTGTCACAACTTTGATCACCCACACTGTTTCAGGTCTATGCTTCACGTCACTTGTGTAATGTGTAGAGAGAGGTATGCGGGTTGGTGCTTTCTCACACTACTCGCACAGCACGGCATGGATAGAATTTACGCTATAGAAATTTCTGCCAACCGAGTAGCTATTGTACGTTAATCCAAATAGACAGAACTTAGTTGACTTCCTCCTTGGCTTTCTCGGACATGGGAACGTTTCCGGTACAACGGGCAACTAGAACCGGTACCGTGGTTATTTCTATGGACGCTATGTCCGGAATGTATCTGGGATATTGCCCTCGCATGGGGACTGCGCGGTCGGCCGCGAATGTAACTTACTTTCGCCAATCTCGCCCATTAGTGGCTTGGCTCTTACAGTATCCTGGGCTCTGTCATCTCAGATAGCTTTCTCCGGGTATGGAATAAGGAACCCCGTCTAGAGACCACCTCAAGGATCGTTTTTGGAGCAATGAAGATGACAATGACTCTCTATACAGCCTTCAAATACAGTAATAGCCTAACGGCTTCGTTCTGCTACCCAGACACAATTTGAGGCTCAAATGCAAAGAACGACATGAGCCCGTCAGAATCAAGCGCGATAGTCACAGCACTACAGCAATTCTAAGAAAGACCCTTTAGAATGCAGTGATCACCGAGCCTTCTAGTCAGAAATGCCTGTCCCTAGATAGACATGCTTTGTAAGTCGCCTTACGATATGTCATTCCAAGAAAAAGAAATCCTAATTAAAGCGGTCCAAGTTATGTATGATACAGAAGAGCAATCAGCAGGGGGCTGATAGATGGGCTTGACTAGGCCTCAATGAAATATAACTGGGTTCACTTCGGAAGGCCCTCGTGTAGACCCACTTTCACGCGTTAGACCGAGCGCTTTTTCTCGCAGCAGTTGTAGGCAAATAGACGAAAAGCCAGGTATTGTAAAATGCGGTGTCTAGAGAGTCCTGTTTCCCACTCTGTATTCATATTTACGATGGTCAAGCCAGAGTGGCCACCATAGATGGAGCCAGCTAAGTGAATCTCAACGAAGGATATTGGTATGAGTTTGAAAATGTGAGGAGTCACTGATTGCATTAGTGGTATTATATAAAGGGAAGCGGGACTGGCTAGTTGATCAGTGGTGACTCCGCGAGCAGCCGTCAAGCAGAACATCCTCTACGGGGTAGCCGGCAATGGAGCCAAGAAGGCCCAGATTTTGCCTTGAATATACGGGACGCGCGCCTTAGACAATGAGTAGCACGTGGCCACATCAACATGGCCATCTCTTGCCGCGAGATAGAAGGACGTTTCGTGCAAAGGCTTTATTCGAACACCGCTACATAGACAGTTCTACGGTTATTTTTCGATGCCAAAAGCCCGTAACGTAATCCACGGCCGAGCTGGCCACACGGTCGAGCCGGCCACCCTAAGACACCACACTTAATTCGATTTCCCACGTCCTTAAGTATTAGCAACGAGAGGATGATTTTACTCGGTTTTCGATAGGATAATATTTTCAGCGTCAGAAATAGCATAGTTCAAGTCATACATGCATTAAATGAATATTTACCGGCGTTACCAAAAATACGCTCCGACCGAGCAATGCAGATATCTTTCCATCTCGTCACATGTTTATATACTTACCGACCTTATAAAGATAATCAATATGATATATTTATCCCGAGGATGCTATATCCTTAGATGATACACTAAGCGCTCAGTGTTGGAATATGGAGTTGTAAGAATTCACATTTAGTATGGTGTTTTGGGGTGGCCAGTTTGGCCGTGGATTACGTTTGTAGAAGCCCGACTTCTTCCACTTGGAAATGTCGCGGGCCGTCCCCATATGAGCTGTTTCCGTAAATAGCGATCTCAACATGCATAGAAGGATTCTGTGTCACTATTTTAACCCCAAGACTACTTTACAAACACGGGAAATAGGTGCCATATATGAATCTAGTGATTGACTTTTGGAACAAAACGGTGTTGTCCATTTTCGACCGGATCATGATTGATGACTATTTAATACACGGCCGTAGCGTAACCTCCGCTCTTGTTCTTCAGTGCCTCAGACACGAATCTGAATATTTTTGATCAACCATGGTCTCCCATCTATCGTCATCGGCTCAGGAAGAGGTGCGAGTATTCAGCTCTAACTTGATTCAAGCCATGAAAGACAACAAGGAATCGGAATTTCAGGGTTTACTCTTCAACGCGTGTGGCGTATCTAGATACGACCATCACGGCCGCCTTCCTCTCACATGGGCCGTACAGCACAATCGCAGCGATTATGTCAAGATCTTGCTCAATCACAATGCCAGCGTCAATCTCCCATCACTAGAAGCATCATGTAAGGGCTACACTCCTCTTTTTTTGGCAGTAGCCAACAAGAACGAAGAGGTTGCGACACTCCTTCTCGATGCGGGAGCATCAGTAGATTTGCTCAGTGACAACCGCACACCACTCTTCTTGGCTGTCCAAGATGAAAACTTGAAGATGATCGAACTTTTACTACGTTATCACGCTAATCCTCATGCTGTATGTGCCTTGAGGCGCGGGTATTTCGAATCGCCTTTCTCTTTCGCTCTAAGGGTAGGCTCCGCTGAGGCAAGTAGTCTCTTACTCGAGGCACAATTCCACCATCTAGTATCGTTATTGAGCCGAGCTTCGACAAAGAAAATAAGTATCCACAAAAACTCAGTACAGGTGATGCAAGAGACGCTTGAGACTTTTGCTGACCAGGCCTCCGAAGAGAGTCCTCTAGAGGTGAAAAGAACGAAAATTGAACAGTCGGATCCAATCATCAATAAAAGTATTCCGACGTTTGATTGGATAGGAGACATCAAGGCTGCCGCCGTTAGGAACTGGGTCTTATTAGTTTAGATTATAATTTGATTTGGATTTAGTAGTTGGAGAAGTACGATTTTTGGTTATGCTTTTATTCAACGTACGTATGAGGTGCCGAAACAAGGCGGAGTGCCGAAACTTCAGATAGATACCTTTATCACAGCTGGAGATAAATTCATCAAGTGATACTAATTTCGTATACTAATGGATCACGGATAATGAATCTTCGTCTTCAATTGAATAATGTATAGCTACGGTCAATAATACAGCAATTTGATCAGTGGTGACCGCACGAAGAAACGTTAACCAGAGTCGAAGATAATATTACGGAGCTAGAATACTTTCTCGCTCGAGCGCCACAGAGGCCCAGAATGTCTGATCTTGAGGTTACACGTAATTTCATTTTCATGTTATTCAATCAACACTATTACATGAAGCCAAACAGTTCAAGCTCAGAGGTTACTCCCACATGGCTGATGACGAGATATCGAGGACTATAACGAAGCGGCAGTACGTTGTGGGGGCAGCCAGGACAACCCGCAGAATGACCCACGGGTCGATTATTGTTTAACTGATTGCGGCTGACGCTGAACCGCACCCGTGGGGACTCACGTCGTATTCGAACATGGCAAGGAAGTTATTTCTTGCTATTTCCGTTAAGCAGCACAACCCGCGTCAAGCAATCACAAATGGATCTTTCAAGAAGAATTCCAAAGAAGCGGCGGAATAGGTCAGCGCACAGCGCAAAGCTCGAAGCTTCCAGGGCAATTGGATTCTGGAGATGTCCTTGCCATTCATAGGTCAAGCATCAAATTTTGGCCAGGACATGCGAGTCTGATCTTTTGTTACAGCGCAGACCGTTATTGCCTTCCATACCCGGAAAACTAGAGATACTTTCCGTAACACCATATTGCAATACAGTACTGACCATGACAACTCCCGACAACCAGCCGTAACACAGGTCGTAACAGATGCACTAACATAATCCATGGCCGAAACGTACACATGGTCGCGTCGTAGACGCTAAACGCCATAGTAAATGCGATTTTTTAGGTCGCTATATCTCAACAACGAGAACATAGTATTGCTTGAACTTCGGTAGAGTAGTCTTCCATAGTATCAGTGGTAGTGTAGCATAACTAATATTGTGAGTAAGCCATTATTTACATATATTATCAAAAAATACCCGCGGACAGCGAGGTAGATGTTTATCTGTGTACATTCTGGAAAAATACTACTTGGCCTAATAGACCTGCTTATTGTGACGTTTCTAACACGAATATTCTATAACCTTTTGTCAAACCCTCAGGGATTGACATATCATGTTAGGAAATATCGCATTAACTCTGGTGTCTGGGATGAATTATTGTGATAAACGATAGATATAGCAGAATTGACGCGTTTTGATTGATCTATCATGTTCTAAAATTTTATCATGGGGGTGGGTGTTCCGACCAGCTGTGAATTACGTTGGTTATGTTGCAGTTACCAACGTAATCCGCAATCAAGCTGGCCACACGGTCGAGCTGTGCACCCACATAGGAAAGGCGATGAATTAGTTATACATTTCTCAACAACTATATCTATTTGTGATAAGACCTGAGAATTATATGATATAGATAGTATCTGTACTTATGTTCGGAAGGTATTGCATATTTTGTTGAAGTATTAATAGATATATATATTATACATTTACGGTCTGTTAGTAAAATCACGTCGTAATTTATGATAAAGCAACGAATGAATCATCCAAACTTTTTAAGCTTAAGATGTTGCATTTCATATGCTAAGAGAAGCCTGCGTGATAATACTCAAGTAAAATATTAGATGGTTGTTCAGGTAATGCATGTATAATTTATCCCCTTTACTTTTGCGTTTTAGGGTACGCAACTCGACCGTGGATTACGTTGCATGTAGTTTGACGTAACTTGAATAGTTTGACCTAATTCGACGTAATTCGACGTAGCTCGACGTAGCCGACGTAGTTTGACGGCGATCTCATCTCTTCGGGTGATTCGTAGGCACTGTCCTTGTCGATTTTTGCCCCTCCGTGCATAGGATCAAATCATCCCCCGTTTTGTAATATAATAATAGGTACTATCAATAGGCCGGGTATTGGAAATTGCAGCTGGAGAATTTCAGAGAAATAGTAGAGGATGCTCGCTCTGCTATCGCCGTCCATCACGTTTTCTGCATAAAACGGGCGTTTCAATGCCAGGCTTGCCAGCTTCCATGTAAACAGCTGGCTCCAGAGGATATCTGCTTGCATGAAAGTGCTGTACATAGGCCTGATAATAGTCTTCCTCAAGGTCTGATACTGTGAGGTCGGACTCCTGCGACGCTGAATAAAATCGAAATCTTGATCTAACAGGTTCTGCATGTTCTGCATGTTCTGGATAGAGTAGAACGTGCTGAATGGCCGCCCGGTGTCTATGGGCCAGTCACGGTGGACTCCGGGGATATGGTGGTGGAGTTGGTTGTTGCCGGTGTGACCCATGAGAATACATTCTACCTCATCAGCATTCTCGCAACGAGCCTGCCTGCCTGCCGTGTTTCGAGCATTATGAGGTATTAAAGAAAAACAAGGATAGTGCAAAAGAACAAAGAAATACAGAATCCTTACTGTATACTCTTTATAATGACAACTCAAAGCCTAATTTCCGTTCCGAAAAAAAGGAAATTTTCCCTAAATTGTACGGTCGGCTCATTCAATAGGTGCTCAAGCGTGCCCTCGTGCATTAGCTTCAAGACAGGGGTCGGATTCACGGAGTTACTCCACGCTAACGACGCTTCCTTGGGTACCCTTCACTATCGTCGGCAGGACTGCTGGAGTTCCATTGAAGTGTCAACAGATGCAATAAAGCTGGTGAACAAATTCACACTGTGGGATGAAATCACCCCTCGTGATACCTTTAGGTATCGTTAGAGGACCGAGGCAGCTTGAACGCCGTTACCTTTCACAACCACAATGCACACTAATGGCTGGAAGCGGGCCACGCTTTGATCCAATAAGCACACGGATCATTATCCACCTCCAGAGTGCATGCTGGGACTTTTTAAACAGAAGTACGACACGTTAGGGTCCGCGACTGCATACACTGCGCGTCATGTTCTTCGACCGCCACACCTAAAATAGACTGCACTGGATAAAGGATAGTGAAGCAGATATCAGTACGGAGTACGTAGAGGCGGATAGGTGGGAAGCTGCACTAGAAAATGTGGATGTGAAGGTGCACACTCAAATGTGTGAAGCGCGACCGGTTCTGCGTTAGCGGACCTCCAACGTTCGGATGATCGCAGATACCCACAGCATGTTCTCCAGCTTAACCTCGGATTTTACGCAATACAGTCACTTACGTGAGCAGACAAGCCCGCTTAGAGGTAGAGGAAATGAAACTGAGAGCACCCGAGACACCGTTTGGTAACCGCCCCTCCGCTTCCCCGAGGCGATGATGCCTTCCCGTCGCCAAACCGACCACGACAACTGAACAGTTGCCCGTTTTGCGCGCGTTTGGCATTGTATTATGCAACGCCCTCTTGCCGCCGTCGGGAGCGGTTTGGGTTTTGGTTGTCTCGTGACTCACACGAAAGCGGTGTGCTGGCTGTATGGGCTCTTCTTCCCATGGGATATGTACCGCCCATCCCTTTCGGTTTCCGTCGTGGCTAGATCAATCCATTTTCAATCCCTTAATTCGGATGGTTTCCTCTCTTCTTCTAATTTTCCTGATCAGCTTGCTTAACAAATGGTTTTATGGTTCCGACCCGCTCAATTTTTTTTGAGAAGAGTACGACAAGAGTCTTGAGTGGGTCGAGCTGAGGTTTAGCGTAAAACGGGGCCTCGATCCAATCGCGCGTGTCTGAGGAGGGTACAGCTGCGAGGAAGTAGGTGCATCGTGGAGCGGAGGAAGCAACAAACGTTAGGATGGAACATATCCAGCCACCCTGGCTTCACGCAGTTATAAGCCGACAGTTGCCTGTAAAGATCCCGGTTGTCAGTGAGCAAACATCGGCTATGCATTCAAGGGACTGCCCAGCCTTTGAGGGACCAAGCATGGCGATCACTGATGGGGCAAGTTTTCTTGTGCCAACGGCCCGAGCGCTTTCGTACGCGCGTGGTCGCCAAGGCCCCGCTAGTTTTAATGGAGGCATTCCGGCCAAATTCAACATGGCAGAATTTGCCGAGTTGTCTTGCAACCCTATGGAACACCGACTTTCCAAGAAGTTCGCTAGATAAATGTCCTGCTGATAGTTGTCCAATTTCCCCAATCTCCCGCTTGTACATAGAGCGCAAGCAGAATTCACAGAACCGTATCCGATCGGATCAGAGGACGGCACTCCAGGTGGGGAAAGGGGAGGGCAGCTTCTGTTCTCCGGGGCCGCCCGTGGTCCAGAGCTCAAACGGAATCAGAGATGTAACAGCGAATGAGAGCAGAGCGGGGACGAGCGACCTTAGAGGGCGCCTGCTCAGTAGGCCCTCCCGACCAATGTTTATGCCTTCCTCCTCATACAGTCGATCGGCGACAGCAGGCGAAGATTCCAGCGAGAGCGTCCCCTGCGCCTCGCCGCCACCCTTGCCTTGAAGGAGCATACCGTATGGCAGAGTCGAAAAATGATACTGACGACGCGTGATCTTTCACTATCCTCTCTACCGTTAGTTTGTACTTCTTCAAATGGAATGTCCCACATCGAAGCCAGGTTGTATTTTATACGGTTCAAAACGCTTGAAGTTTTTTGTGTCACTTGGAACCAATTCATCCAAAACTGGTATGTTACCAACAATCAAGGTCCCGAAACTTCCAGCCCGAGCTATCTGCTTGAATAATTATATTACTAAGGGAGAGATGCTCCACAATCAGTTAGTTACGTTAACTACGCCCTCAAGCAAGATTGTCATAAACAGCACGTTGGCCTAGTACAACTAAATTTATCCAGGTACAGCCCCTTAAAGTATTACGTAGTGCACATTGGGCAGGGCACAATGTGTGTGTATTACATGAGGATACGAATCTTGCCACATTTCAATATGTCACCTAGTAAACGTGTGTAGACTGTGCTATAATTGCATTCGAGTGTAGAACGCGTGATGCGGGGCCTATTACCAGCCCACGGTGGTAGTCATTTCATGGGGAGTCGGGCTGAATAGCGAATGGTGTTATTGAGGAGGTGCATGATGACGAGATCAGTCTGGTCACAGGACGGAGTACAGACACGGCAAATGGCTTACAATTACAGATGCTGAATCGAGTTCCTGCCGAGACAACCCGATAGAGGAATGCAATTACACAGAAACGATAATGTAGTGAGAAACGGATTTCAATTCTTCCACGATCGCGGGCAGATAATAGGGCGGATGGGTTTTTTGCATGTCTACCGCCTCTAGGAACAGTATTGACCGCCCCACGACTCCATTCAGCGAGATGAAGCGTCTATTAAAGTCTGTCTCTGGGTCCTCGTACTTTCTCACCACATATGCACCTTGCTGACTAGGTGTGAACCCTAAATTAAAATACTACTGCTCTTAGTGGTAGAACTGCTGGCAGAATGCCTAGCAGGATACTTTACAGAATGCAGGCGGTGAACCTCTCCAACGCCTTCTCATAATTACCTGCCATACATGCCCACAAGATCAAGAGCTTAACAATGATGGACCGGGAAGCATGGCGGGAGATGATTGAGGTTTTAGATGTCAACAAGAAGGAATGTGACATGTTAGGGTCAGGGTCTTTAGGTTAAAATGAGCTCTACCGGGATATCCCGCCAGATAAAGGAGAGTCGCATCACGTGAGACAGGACGGTACGGGACCCAGATGTCGCGATTCCTTTTTGGAGATCACGTTGTTAACGCGTCGCTTATCAGGCAACCACAGCCTGCGCTCGAGGCCCCCTCGCACTACCATGGAGCAAACACAGCATCGAGAGGTTCCTAGGGAGATTTGGCTTGCCATTGACTTCGGGACCAATACCACTGAAGTTGCTGTCTCCGTGGACCCGACTAACCCTGCTGGAACCGCCGATTACCTCTTGAAATTCCCGTCTAGCGCGTCCACTCAGGTGGAAAATTACACCACCGAGTTAGATACCACTATCGTCTTTACGAAAGATGCCAAAAAATTCTCGTTTGGTTCCGACGGGGCGTCGTACGCCAACCGGGAAATGTTCAGGCACTGGAAGTTAGGTACGATGGGAGTGAAACCATATGACGAAAACCTGATCGAATCCTGTCGGGGCGTTCAGCAATGCCTAGGCCTAGAACACGGGCACTTCACTCCCGCCTCCCTCTTCCGTATTCTTTTTGAGCACATTTTGAAGACCGCCAAGGACCACCTTCGCAACGAGTATGGTGAATCTTTCGGTCCGATCAAAGCCTGGCTTACGTATCCAGTCAGCTGCGGTGAATCAATACGGATCCTGCTTCTTCAAGAAGCCATTGCTGCCGGGATTGTTGTCATGGGGTCTGTTTCGGAGTCTCTATCGGCGGCCTGCTTCTTAGAAAAAAGCACAATCTTTCTAAGCACAATCCCCCCCTGCCCGACGGCGCAAGACTGATTCTTGACTTCGGCGGAGCAACGTTGGTAGAGTGCCGCTGCCCGACCACTACTGTAGATTATCGCCTAATTATTCGCAGGATGCCACGATTATATACAAGAACGACGATGGCCAGTTGGTTCAGGCTTGTGCGACCGACGGTCTGTTTCGCCTTCCGCGATCTCGGAGCGACTTGCTAACAGTCACTAGGCCTCCCAAAAGGAGGGCAAATGGTCAACGAATTATGTCGCAGCTGGCTTCAAGCGAATTTCCCAGACTGGAAATCATTGTGGGATGATGATCACTGGGCTACGTACATATCGCCCTTTTTCGATCAATGCAAACGGGCCTTTGATGGCCAGTCCACCCATGAGCTATTTCGCGGGGATGGCTCTGTTGAGATTCCTCCGTTCGTGCCTATCTTCGGTACTCCCTGACTGGATGTGAAGCAAAAGCTAATCGCCCGCGTTGACGGCATAGTGATGTGATGCAAGGATTCTTTCTGCCTTTGATCTCCGGAGCGGAGGATTTAGTGATACGCATGTGTGACCGCGCGAGGAAAGCCGGGCATCCCGTAAATATTGCGGTCGTGTGTGGTGGCACTGTGAGAAATAAGTGGTTTAGAACTGAACTATTCAGGCGACTCAAGGAGCACGGGATCACCACTTGCGAAAAAATTGACGTGTCAGTTAGACAAGCTCTAATCACCAAAGCCACAATACTAACCGCTCAATGCTCGCAGTCATGGAATTGTAGCACTTGGGGCATTGCAATACGCTCGTCTTGATGTTGAGGAAGAACTTGTGATAACGCGCAATTTGGGACTCGGCTACGTCGGCGACTACGATGAAAACGGAAGCCCTCTCAAAAAGGGAGAGTGGCTGACAGGTATAGGTTGGATTCTTCGTGAGGTATGGCCCGCTTTGCCTCTACTCTGTCCTTCCGCGCTTTCTCCAATCCCCGCTAACAAAGGCAACTTTATAGGGGCAAGATCCAAAAGAGGGCCCCGGCTGCCTAAAATTCACGAAGAAAATCCAGCCACGCTCAAAGGAAGCCGGCGACCTGATCATTGAATCTAAAATGCATGTGACTCCGCCAGACTCAAGACAATTCGGCGAGGAGCATATCAAAAGAAACGATCTAATTGAGTGGGAATGTGACATCACTTATCCAGCAACTGAAGAAATCTTTTCGTATCTATCTCACCTAGGTACCTTTTCAGGGGAAATCCCGCACAAAAAACTGTTTCCGCTTGGAACTGAAACGAAGGAACGCGAATTTGAGTTTGAGCTTACCCTCCAGAATGACCGGCAATTACTGCGGGGAGTTTTTGCCGTTATGCTAGATGGCGAGCGCTGTCTTCTCCACGACGTGTACTACACGCCTCTGCCTTTGGTACCACGATCGGAGTATTTGAATCAACAAGGTCAACTTCGCCGCCGCGTGAAACGTGGCGCAGGTGCTGCCAACGTGGATGATAGGCTGGACACAAGACACCCGAATCTACGTTCATCGAGCATAGCAATCTTGCCTACGCTAAATACCTCGACCGAACCTTCTCGCAGTTCTGGCAGTCCTGATTCAGGCAGCCCTAATTCAGGCAGCCCTGACTCAGGCAGCCTTGACTCAGGCAGTCCTCGCCATCCGCCTTATCTCCCCGATGATCTTCCATCGGTGCGTGGGCCTAGCCGACCGGACCATACTGCTTCTTCTTCTCTCCAACACCGAAACGCCCCTCCCGGAAGTCGCTACCCAATTCGGTACATACCACCCCCATCCGAGGATGTAATCAATCAGATCATCAACGACTTGCCACGGCTAGCGGGCCACAGAGGGACAAACCTTTCGGTATAATTTGTTCATCGCGAATAAGTTGTTCGGGTTCGGCCAGTCGACAGAACTTGATTCCATTGATTACGGCTGGGGGCTGTGACTTATGTAACATTACCTTATCGTGACAAAACGCGTATCTTGATTCGTTTTCTCAAATCGCACAGCTAGGTCCATGAAGTGGCACCTTGAATCCTTCCATTCTCTGCAAATACCATATTCACTTGTCAGACTGGTCAGTGGCTCGCCAGCCTCTCTGTCTTCGGTGTTGGCTGCACATTTCTGAAAGATTCAAGTCAGCACTACGATATGCAGCTGGGACTGATTCGTGGTATGCTTCGGCGTACTCTATAATGGAACTTATCCCTTTGCATGGCACTAATCACAAGAAACCTCTCAGGTTGAGTAAACTACCATGCTGGGAGGCGGTACCCCATTGTAGCAAAGGTCGATTGCTTCCTTTCCTTGCTCGTAGTATTGATGATGCTTCCTAGTGAAGTAGGGCTGTTGGTGTTCCTGGGAGTGACGGCAAGCTCTGGAAAGTCGAATGAACAATACGAAGCTAGTAAAAGATAATGGCTCAGTTCAGGGAACCCCGAGGGCACGATCTACAACTGACCTCTCGCTGGGAGCCATCATTGTGTATCAGAGGTGGGATACAAACCTGCAGACATCTAGGTTTCAAAAGGCGTGATATTCCAGATAGTATCTCCGGAGTCGGTGAGGTATTGTATGCCTAACGTGACAGCTAGACGGAGTAGGGACCGTGTTTCAATAGCCGATATAGAGAAACCTGCGGAGAGAGTTGGGTATTTGACTCGCTGTCATATAATAATTTGGCAAGGTGAAGGGGGAAGCTATCAAGCCGCACGTACATCTTGGGGAGGTTCACATCTATAACAACCGTTCAGTGTTACCTAAGCCACGTGGTATCCATGTAGTACGTTCGTTGCTACGACAAGCTTCGGCTCCACGACCTCCCCAACTTCATTTTCTCAAACGCTCATAAGATTATGCCACTTGTCTCTACTTGGAGTCACTCTAACAATCGAAATTTTATAAACGAGCATGATATAGGTCTTACTCAAGCGCAGGTGCAACCTACAGCCAGAACAGTTATTGTTGTCCTAGGTAGACGACACTGGCTTCACAGGGTCAGACCCGGGTGGTCTGATAAATATCTTCTTGGTGAGGTTGAGAGCAGCACGCCCCTGTTCGGATGCTAACCGCCATGATCAGCGAACTTCCTTCTCATCGTCATCCTTCCCGCGGTTCGAATGACTTTTCATTTTCTCAATGCCGATCAGATGTATTACTATACCAACGTGTTAAATGAGGCCCCAGGTGATGATCAGCCAGTAAAACACTCAGTTGAGGCCTTAGAGTTTGCGACCTCAAGCATGACAGTTGTAAAATATCGCTTTCTGTTGATCCAGCATCAACCGCGGTCTGCGAGGCAGTGCAGAGTGTTCCGGATTTACGTATTTCTGGGCTGTATTTCGGTAATCATGGAGCAGGGAAGGAAAAAAAGACAGAATTAGGACATTTTCTAGTAAGAGGCATGGCTCTGTTACTCGCAACATCATATATAGAGACCTTTAACTCGTAGGCGATCTTCACGTCTACGTTCCCGACATCGAGGCAGGTTAGGACAAGGGTATTGGCCATTGCTTAGTACCTAATAAAATGCACCGTTACGATATGGCGCATTCAGGATTTAAATGTACTGTTCTTCAGGTTGCCAGGACCGGATAACCAGTAAAGAGTGCTCTGACTCCATCTGCAATTTCAAGTGGATACTATGAAAGAGCCCCCTTTATTAGCCACTAGAAAGGCATTAGATCGATGCTTCAAGGCATTGAAAAAAGTTGTCTTCCGACTGAAGCTGATTGTAATCCAAGAAATCGTCGAACCCGCCGATCAAAGGACCTGATTGTGATTCCGCTGGCTCTGTGCGGTTATGATCTTCTGCGAGCGACCGCACCTGTTTGCACCTACTCAAAATTAGCACTGAGAGCTGGACTTCTCTAAGCACATAGGATGTACACACATGACCGTTAGCATACTGATTGCGTCTTGAATTGCATGCTGCAATTTCTGTATATTGTTGTCTGTGTCGCTATTTAAACCAAGCACGGATTCCATCCTCTCAAGCCCGGATTCCATCCTCTTGAGCCTGATCTCAAATCCGTTGTTCATTGCCATCATCTCCGATTGGGGAGGATAACGATTTGGTTTGAATCTTTTTGGCTCTGATTGAGTTGTGTCAACATCGCATCGTCGTTTCTGAGCCAATACAGGTGGAGGTAGAGGGAAAAACTGGAATGTTGGACGTCGCGGTGATGTTTTTAGAGGGCCCTGGGAGGCTTTCAAAGCTGCAGACATTTCTGGGTTATGCTATACTGTTCTGTGCAGTGTTGCAGACAATTATTGTTCTCTTTAAGATATAGGGAGGGATTTGTGGCGACGGGGATCGTGTCTCCAATTCTAGTCACTGAGATCTAAATTTAGCTCCAGGCAATTGTCGAACGTGAATCCAAAATAGAAAGTCTCTGCTTGGGTAAGTTAGCAGCATTTTCAATCAAAATGCTTTCCGAAGAGTGAGCTCGCGGGCGTTTAGATACTAGCGACTAGCTTGTGAGGAAGAAGATTGTTAATCAGTACCGCAATTATCAATCATCATATAGCGTGAACGAATTGTGTGTTCTTAAGACATCACGGGTTTTACTGTACAATAAGATAGGAGCACCATTTTTAACTCGCTCAACTGCGTTGTCACAGAAGTAGTATTGATCCGAGACTAATATTATAACCAAAAGTGAATATCCAATCAACCGGATTTCCCCCATGGTCTTCGTATTCATAGCCTCTTGCCTTTCCTCTGAGATTGCAATCTATCTTCCGGTGATACTTAAGTCAAATGCCCCACAGGAGATAGTTTCTGGGTTGTAACATCTACGTCAGGTGCCGAAACAAGACGGTGTGCCGAGAGACATCTATCACGAATTTCGAATGGATTACTACGATCAAAACAATTTGCGCTGGCGGCTATTCGCTACAGAATCATGTTGAAGGGCCAGGTTTCTGTTGCTAGTTGGTTTGAATCAGATCTCCCTAGCAATTGGCGAATCGAATTGTATCGAAGTATCAAATAATGAATGGCTGGAGTACGGATGAAATTGGCCTTCGCTGGCTCCAAAAGATCTTTATTCCATATAATAATTTGCGTGTACGAGGGCGATTTCGGCTGTTGATCCTTGACGGGCACGAGAGCCATCTTACACCTCAATTTGATCGAATACTGGCCAAAATAACATCATACCACTCTTTCTACCTTCAAATTGGTCTCACTTGATGTCAATCCCACTGCAACCGCGTCCCGCCGCACGATACCATGGAACCAAACACCCACAGCTCGGTAAAACCCAACATAGATCACAACCACCTATTCTTCGAAAATGAAATTTATTCACTTAGTATAGAGATAAAATTATAGACAACTGCTCGTTGAAAACCCTTTCGCTGTGCAAAGTCATTAGCGTTACGAGAAGTCAGTTGACAAAAATTAGAAAGCCTGGAGCTGTCCTCAAAGTATATCTAAATATAGGCCGTAACGAGCGGGGCAACCGTGACGAATGAGCACTCATGGGATCGTCACAAAAGGCGATTAATTTCCATTTTGAGCGTCTACACATTGAAGAAGCTCAGCCATTTTTACTGTAGGAGGAGAGCAAAACCAAAGCTCTGGCGAAGAGGAATATAAGCGTCAATGCCGGCACCAAGTCAAGCGATCATATATTTGACAAGAGTGAGTAAGCAAGCCTTTGGTTCGTGGCTGAATCATCGCTTATAATGCGTCCGAACACAACCATTTGACTCGGCCCGGTGGATATAGTGAGTACGAGCGCCGAGGGTCAGGTATCTCCAGGAAAACATGAAGTTAAAGGGCCCAGTATTGACGAAGTCAAATTTGGACTCCCGAAGTTGACGTATTCTCGTAAAACCGAACTCAAATACAGTATTGATAGTAACATCCCCTGACAATTGGTCGTAAACTTGGTGGACGAAAGCTGGTCAACGAATTACCCAAGACCGAACTTCAGACATAGTCCTCTCGCAATATAGTGAAAGCAAATCAATCTAAGTAAGCTAGTCAATAACATAGCTCTGAATTATGCGTGTTTTCAAAAGTTGACATTCTGGGTTAGTCCCTGTGGCATTTGAGCGACAAAATTCTACTACCGCTGTGTGATTTTTTATCCGCGCAGTCACCTCAGATCAACCTGTAATATTGACTTTGAAGAATGTAACACTGCATTAGAGAGGGATATCATTATCCATGATCCATTAGTATACGACAATAGAATCATTGAACGTACGTACCTGCAACGATGGTCAGGGTATCTATCTGACGTTTCGGCATACTGCCCTATTTCGACACCTCATATATCCGTTAGGTTACTGTACCAACATCATAATCCATGGTCTGCATTCATTTATCCTGGATATGGAAATATCATTGTTTCCGAGATATCTCTAGAAAACAGCGTGGCGATGCCCATGCCGAAAAATTGTATTCAGGGCTATATTGAGACTACATAATGTGATGAAGAGCAGGCGAAAGTTGTTCGGCAAGAAGAAAGTCGGATATCAACTACTGACACGGTATATATAGGATGGAATAGTGATCGATATTGAAAGTGAATGCAAAATTGGAAGAAAAAGGCCCACTAGACTGGCAACCATTGAGTTGGTCTTCACGGGCCCTGAAATATAGGTCCACGCGGCAGAGTTAAATTCAGTATTACCTGAACAGACCATTGGAAGTAAATACGAACAACACTGTGCCAATACCAAGGCCTGTATAATTAACATGTATCTAGTCTCTTTCATCCATAACAAGAATAGTAAGTTACCGAAACGGGTTGAAAAAGCCGGATTAGGTGCTGGTTGACACTATATAAACCAGAAAACTCCATAAGGCCCTTCATTATGAGATTAGCAGGCGTTCTTTATTCATTTATTTTTTTGTTTCATTGTTTGTGTACTGCTGTAGACCTGCCGTAGCGGCGGGTTTTGCAGTGGAATTGAGGCGTCCGCTTCAAACTAACGCCAGACTGATACTACGGGCCTAGCTATGAAAATAGAAGGTCGCAAAGTGTTCATGGAGAAATCGATCTAAGCTCTAAGCCGACAAGCAGACGGGCGAAAGGCTGTTGTATACCCGTGACTGTGAGCTCTTTAGTATTTCCGGGCTGGCAGTGGCAGGAACAGCGCTCCCAAATAAAATACCCCCAGAAACTGAATTTTTCCCACACTTCTAGACTGGCAGAAGAAGTCTACACGGGTAGAGCAGAGAAGCGTAAGGACAAGGAAGGGAACTGTAGCGCGGATAGCCGGTCCAGCTGACTAAAATTTCTTTGAATTAATTAATTATTTGTACTACTGGGGATCTTTAGGTATAAATTATGCGCGGATCAACCATTTGAAATAGCATTCTTACATCCAACTCCTCCCTTCCAAATCCATTCTTTTCTCGAGCAACCCACTCCTTGTGCCGCTTCAATATGGAATATTTAGCACTTGCTGCAGCTTCAAGCAATTCTAGCCCGCCGTCTGCAGGTAGACGCAACCAGCGGGCTAAGATTGGTCCCGTAAGTCCGTCCACTAATTTTCATACCAAACTTCCTAACCCGTTTGAGATTGTGAGCCCAAAGAGAATATCCAAATCATCACAGCGAGAGGCTCAGCAGCGATTTCGAGACAAACAGAAAGCGAGGAGAGAGGAAGACCAACGGATATTAGAGACGCAGGGAAGGCAGCTCGAGGAGGAGAGAAAAACCAACGAAAGACTGAATGTTGAACTTGAAGTGCTGAAGGCTGAGAACGTTCAGCTCGAGCGCCGGGCAAAAGCGGCGGAACAGTGCTCTACACTCCTGCAAGACCTTGTCAAGGCATTCCAAGATAGACTATGCGCCGGCGTCGGTAATCCCAGCATGAAGTCCGGTTCTCTAAGCGCGACCGCACTTATCTCGGGCCCTATTTCCCCTCAATTTAGCCACGGCAACCACCTGCGAGCTCGTTCCTTTCCACCCCTCGTACCGCCTCCTCGCACGTTTAGATCCTTTGGTAATGCGCTCATCACAATTCTGACGTCCTCCAAGAAGTCTAACGGTATTAGGGAAACCTCATTTTGGGCCAGTAATGTCCCCAATCTCACCGATGCTAGCGCGGACGCCAGATCCAATTTTGTTACAGGATACTCCTTCCGCTTGTTCAAATAATTCACAACAAGAGACGGAAATCTAGGTGAAACTGAAGAAATCTATGATAGGGAGCTCAAAGGCAGAAATCAAGAAAAAGTTATCACGAAGCGCATCTTACTGGTTTTAGTAATTTTTTTGTTGCCGGATAGCGAACTCCGCGCTCCATTCTTAACTACTACACGGGATAGAATATTTCCTGATTCAAGCAGCTAGCGTTATAATAAGTATATTCTCTGCAAAAAATCTTCAAACACATTCCCTCGGGCTAGAAAGAGATCGATGCGGATAAATCTATAGACCTATATGGTTTCACATTTTAGAAATTGTTTAAAGCCCTCATTTAGTTGCCTATTTGAAGCTACCGTATAGGCAAAGTGACCTCATTCGAATCCCCTAATGGGAGACCTGCTAGCCTATTGGTAGTCTCGCACGCCGCAGAAAACATCGTCAGTCAGTTACGGCGCAGGCATTCGAGGAAATCGTAGGCGCGATAGAACGCGATGGGGCTACATAGGCCTTGCCAGCGCTGTTCAAAGAGCCGCCCGAGAGAAGATATCCCTCGGCGCACATAAAGTAAGAGTATCGGGCCACAGAGGGCTGATTATCTAGCCAAAAAGTTACATCTTCGATGAAACGCACGGAACTGGTCTGATCAGTCACTCCGCCCACATCGGCATTGAGTGCAAACTCGGTGATCCAAACCTCTGAGAAATTATGAGCGTCGGCAAATGAAATAGCATTCTTGACGAAAGACTTGAAGTCATCAGCAGAGTCACCATACCAGTGAACTACCAATCCCGAAATGCCGCAGGATGTACATTCTTTCATAAATAAGTCAAGCCACTGAAGACCCATACCAGCAGAGGTAGAAGAAGTCACTGCTGGGCTCAATAATTTGAAAGTTCCTTGATATGGCGTAATATAGTTCTTGTAGTAACCGGCGGCCACAGAAGGGCTGAGATTGGCCTGGGAAGTCATATCCGGCTCATTGAATCCTAGAATGTACGAGCTGCCCCGAAGATGTGCCTGTTCCACTGATGTATCCCATCCATCAAAGACTGCACGGCCCAGCATGGGAACGAATTCAACATGTGCCGGAAGGCTAGATGCCTCCTTCATATCCCAATTATATGCCCATGTTACCGTACCGGTGTCCGACAACGGTGTGACCGTTGCGGGATCGTTGTAGGCTGCACCGCGCTTGGTCGTAGCCTCTACGATGCCAGTAATGAGCAAAAGGCAAAGGCCTACTCTGAGAAACGTTCTGTTGAAGCAATCGCTCATACCTGACACAGACCGCTTGAATAACAAGTGCCTTACTGGGAGAAACCCTGTGATCGGTTGGAAACATCGTGGGCTTAAAAGCCCTCTGCAAATCCGTTACGGACATGCTTTTCTTCAATTTAGAATCGTGACAATTTCTGATAATTCGAAGTGTCATAGTCCCGCCTTGGACAAAACGCGAACCCAATTGCCCTGTTAGATTTACAAACCCACATAATCACCAGGCTCTTATTTTGATCTCTAGTATTTCGGGTAACAATCACAGTACGCCAGTCCACGTATATAACATTGGTTCGATCAGGTGTCAAAAATCGGGCCTAGCGATTTTGATCATTTCGATGGTAAAAATGGCAACACTGCACTTAATTTCTACATTTAGAAGATCAAGTACGTAGCACAACTCGGACTGAAATTGCTGCTTCGCCAATCAAGTCAGCTACGAAATTTGTGTCAACCACTAAATTTATGAGCTGTACGAGGGTTTCGACACACCTCCTCATTCTGGTGCCTCGTTCATTTGGCCGTTCTTTGACATACGAGAATACGAGGATATTGGCTGCCGTAAGCATGTACGGGCTTCTTACTATTCAGCCTGTTCTCCAGTCTAGCGATCTCCTATTATCCAAACCTGAGTAGTATGCTCCGCATATGAGTTACAAGTCGTTTTTGCAGAGAGCAATGATGTGGTGGTTCATCCTCGAGGTATTTGAGCCATAAATCTTGGCCCTTCAACGTCGATGAGATTCTTCCCTGAGCTTAGACCGCGTAAACGTATTACCGTAACTCTCCATCTACAGCCAGCGTATCTTATCTCCCGGTAAATGCACATAATCAAAATCGCAGGGCTGCATGATATTTGTAGCTATGCCTCATCAACATCTCGCGCACTATTTATCATCAACAGTCCAGACAACCCTCTCCTGAAAGTGTTACAGAGCGCATGATCATTTACCATTGTAAGCCCATGAACTTATAACGATTACTCTCATTTGAGTACGCCTGTTTTGAGCACGTGCCTGGTCCCATTTCTTACAGTGGGTCGCTGGCGAGAGTAGACGTCTCTCTGCTGTAGGAAAGGCCGTCGATATCGATCGGCAAGTCCTGTAGAACTTCGAGCAGAGACACCCATCCTAGATTTCTTTAGTGGACAGACATCCGGGGACTTCTGCGTCATGGATGGCACAGGTTTTTTTTTGGAATAGTCTGGGAACCGTAAGTCTGGTTTGACGTCATGCCATCCTTTGGCCCACGCAAATTCCACAAGGGCTCTCAGCCCTATGCCTTGGGCCTGGCTGATGAATTCAATCTGTAGGAGTATAAGCATTGGAATATTCGTTCATAGCACCCGAGCTTACGTCTTTGATTCTGTTAATGGCCTGCAAGGTGGATTGTTGATTCGTGGGGTTTTCTATGATATTGCGGAGAGATTCGACCTGACTGGTCATGTAGGTGCCGTCGCAACAACTTTCCTCGGTATTGGCATTGCAAGCGATACAGCCGCCACCAACGCAATGGGAGCATGAATCAGGGCCCATGGAAATTAGGCCCTCGATAACCTGTTTGAGCGCATCGGACATGATGTGATAGCCTTTCGAAGTCTGATTTACAATGTGTTCTATGCCTCCTGTACGGATGATTAGTGAAAGTGCGCTGCTCGTAGTGGCGAGGAGAACATACCCACTTTCACGGTACCATGCCGAGTTATTAGAATATTCTGTAGATCGAGCCTCCTATGCTGGTATCCAAAAGTCGCCAGGAAACCCAATCCAGACAGGACCTGATCAAAGTTAGGCTATAATAATATGTGCAAAGAGGGCTTGATCATGATCACCTGGCTAACTATTGACCAGATATCATCATGGCACATCTGGGAGGGAAATCCCGTCAAACCTTGGAGTACGTTGGTGAGAGTCATTAAATCGTACTCGGAGACGGTATAAAATGACTTCTCAAGGATGTGGAGATACGAGTGCGTTGGCATGAGCAGATAACGGAGGTGTCCAGTCAACTTGCAGTTTTCGAATTTTCTCATCAAATCTTGGATCGGATGAGGTCTGCCTTCAGTCTTGATCCGATATTTTCGGATCCCGTACAGAGTTCCGTCATTTCCGGTCGAGGATCGAATGGTAGTTGAACAAACCGTGGTGATTCGTATCCGGACCGAAACTATCCTATCTAGTCTAGCACTGAACTTGTGTTGGTAGTAATTACTGGGATTTCCGTAGAGTATCTTAGGCCGGTAACAACCATCATTCTTGGGTGAAAATAGAGCGCGTCGGGGAAGAACAAGAGGTCGGAGCCCGTTGGGAGACCCTGAAACAGACATTATCTGGATGAATGGAAAGGATAGGAGGAATCCAGGATATGTGAGGCATAAAATGAACCCCAGGGGAAGAGACTGTATATTGCTGATAGACCAGCGGGGACAGGTGTTACCTAAAATAGAAGGAGAGAAACCGAAAGAGAAAAAAATAGAACCCAATTCCTTTTATGGATGAATCAATTCTCTGTAGGCAAATTTGGTAACAATGCCCGCTTTCTCAGGCTCGTAGACATCTGAAGTAGGCAATATAGGCTGATTGGAAGTTCTGATCCGCCCATCTACGAATACTTTGCTGGTCAAATTCTCCTCCAAATGAATAAACACGTTCAAATATCAGGGCACCAAGACAGGTATTCTACGAGACAATCTCCCGGCAGCAATTTTATGCCATCAAGAACACATTCTTCTAATTCCCACGGTTGCGGCTTAGGTAACTCAGGAAAGCGGCAAATCCCTCTAATAGCTAATGATCGCCGGCTGACTTAGACTAAGACAGGCTTTTTCAATTAGTGACTTAGCGTGAGATAACATGGACACTTCCTTGCTGGTTTGATTTATTGATGTGGAATCATGACTTTTCTTCATACATTTAATACTCTTGGTTCTATATATAGGTATGCACGCCACGATAAAGAAGTTGGCTGTAGAGCATGCTCTCCTACAGTATTTTTGAAACCCTGCTACTTGTCTACTTGTCTGTAGGTATCTTGACATAAGATCTAATTAGAAATATTGAATTCGGAGTTTGGCGATGAGCGAACCTAGTAGAGAGAAAGTATGTAAAATGGCGATATCAAAGGCAAGCATCGCTTAGGTGGATACTTGCGGACCGTAAAGGAGGGAACGCTTGTGAGGAGTGTGGATCGGGGTTTACAGAAAAGCAAGGACACGTTTGATTCCCAAATTATACCCGACGATATTCGGACATAGTCAAACGTCGACCTCAGAACAGTGGTATAGTAGTTGTTTGGATTGGAGATCGATATCATATTTCGAGACAATTCCCACCAGTTGACTCCTGTACGGAGAAAAAGCGAGCTGTTCTGCCATCATACACACTCTGCAATTAACACTCCTTCCCTGGCCGGATGGTTAGGTGGAGCCGGCCCGTCAAGGCGAGGCGGGCGTTGATTGATAGAACCAAGCCAGGCTGCTCCTCTATTCATCAACCGCATTGAGATATTCTTATGTCTAGCCTCGGCTATTCCTGCGCCGACGAGCCACGACAAGAAGGTCTCGAGAATATACAAGATCGGATAGACCTGCTTGAGCTCACTAGACCGGCTCGGATTTGCGTCTACATTTGGGTCTTGTGCGTAAGCCGGCTCGCTGCTCGCCCAAGGCTAGGGTTCCAACCCTTGAATACCTCGAATGGCCCCACAGCAAGAGCCGAGAGAGGGGAAATGAATATATGTATGAGAGACATCGCGTGACAGAATCGAATCACAAGCCAGATCTCCTCATTTTAAACGTCTGACTATGAGACCTTGCAAAGTAGTCATATCCGGCGGTGGGGTTACCGGCCTCACTCTAGCATTGATGCTGGAGAAAGTCGGGGTGGATTATATTCTGCTCGAAGCCCAAGCAGACATACTTTGCAGCGATGCTGGCACAGGTATCTGCATGCTACCAAATGGCCTTCGTATCTTAGACCAGCTGGGTTGTTACGAGTCCCTTCTTGACCAGGCAGGAGACGCTATTGACAGTGTAACTGTCAAAGGCCCCGACGGTGAAGTGTTGAGGCACACAACCGGATGGCAGCAATTCGCTTTGGAGCGGTTTGTTCTCCCGAAGTGTTGGCCGGTTTCTCTTAATCTGGTGAATTTGATCCGCTAACTTGAACAGATACGGTTATAAGGCATTCTGGTGCGATCGGAGTACTTTATTGCAGGCAATTTACAACCAGATCAGGGATAAGTCGAAATTACGAATCCGGAAATCGGTTGAGAGCATTGAGCATCTTGAAAGCGAAGTTAAAGTCAAAACAAGCGATGGAGAGGTCTACCACGGCGATGTCGTCGTCGGAGCAGATGGAATTCATTCGCGCGTCAGACAAGAAATGGCTCGTCATGCCCGTGAGATTGGCGCTGGCGAACAGTTCTCAGAAGAGAAGGGTAGGTTTGAAAATTACCTTGGCAGGGTGACATCTCTACTGATAATTCTTCTCAGATGTTCCTTCAACATACTGCTGTCTTTTTGGAATTTCTAGCACTGTCAAAGGAATTTCCCAGGGTGCGCTTGATTACGTATTGAACCACGGGTTTTCTTATATCGTTGGCAGTGGTCCTAAGGATCGTACCTACTGGGCATTAATGAAAAAGCTGAGGAGAACCTGTCACGGTACTGAGATTCCCCACTTCCTCCCCGAGGATTCGGACACCATACTTCAAGAGCATCAGAACGATCCTGTGGGCCCGGGAGTTTTTGTTTCGGACTTGCGTGAAAAGCTACTAAGACCCACAGTCTTGAAGCCGATGCGAGAATTTACCTATCAGAAGTGGTTTTTGCAACGGATGTTAATCATCGGAGACGCGGCCCATCAGGTACGGAAGTCAAATGTTCCTAATTTGATTTCCGCTTCACTGAAAGTATCACTAAACTCTACAGATGACAATTATCATTGCCCAAGGCGGAAACCAAGCCATTGAAAGTGCAGCAGCGCTGACCAACAGTCTGGTGTCAGCGTTATCTGGCAAGCAACAAGCCGGTCCATTATCATGCCATGAGATAGAGACTCTCTTTAAGGATGTGCAACACACTCGGTTTGCTCGAGTGAAAGGCATGATCGAGCGTTCTCACCAGCGACAGCTCATGGATTCGTTGGAAACACAGAAATGGAAAGACTATATGTTACACGAATTTCCCTCGTCGCTTCCGCGGGCCATGAAAGTGCGATGGGATGAGACCTTTGCGCCGGCAATTTCGCTTCATGACCTCGAAGTTCCTGTCAGGCAGAAGACGTTTCGTTGGTTGGACGAGCCGGAGTAGAAATATGAAGGCCGAGCGAGGTTTGAGCTACAAGCAAAGTTCAAAATCTAAGTCTCGACAAAGACCCGGATGTTAAGATATGTCGCGCTGGAAAATCTTTGAAAATGTTGTGTTATTGCCTGAAGTATGAAAGCGAGTGCCTTCTGACTAGTGCCTAGCTATCCAGTTCTCTGCATGTCGAGCAACATTTTCAAGCGGCCATCGAGCCCAGGAGCATTTAAGGCCTGAGTTCAAGCAGATTATGAAGTTCTTTCTGTCTATGATGATTAGAAGATGCCAGCGTTAGCTTGGATTGCTTCCCAAATATTTGTGCTGATCTGGTATACTGTGTAGTGGTATAAGTTACCGTTGGACTTACATTTGATTCTCTACATAAATTATGTCTTCAGCGTCGACCAGGAGACTGAAGGATCGTTCGGTAAGCTGTCCGTGATTAGAAGTACATTCGCACGAATGCTAGCTGTTCTTGTGCCATAACAACGTCGGATCCGCCAATTTGTCAAAGCTGTAGTCGAAGCCATTTTGACTCTCTGTCAGGCAAGTCATGAATAATTGCGACTGTTGTATTATGCGTCCGGCGAAGATAGCTAGTTATGATTGATCCTGATGATCCTCTGATTTGTAGGTATTTGATAGCTGTCTACCAGACATTGGCCATGTGTCCACAGTGGAGGATACTATAATGCCCTCAACAACTGTACTCTGACTTTCAAGCGCTAGCTGCAAGGACTGGTGCAAACAGCATGTCCTTGGCCTTCAACTTGGCGTGTTTGGGTAACGCTCTCTGATGTAAAGGAGCGAAGGTCCGCCACGGAAGATGAATCGGCAAGTCTACAGAGCTCGTTCCACACTTTGCCATGCGTATGAAAATTGCAATCGTCATGATAGGTCAATGCAATTAAAAAAGGTCTCGGAATAGCTGAGGCGGCTAGGTGACCTGCACCAGCACATGATCTACTATAGTAGCATCTGAAAATAGGAAACATCAAGACGTGAGTACCTATCGTTCCCTAAGAAAAGCGGGTCATCCTGTAAAGAATCAAGAATGAGGCCCACCACGCTGACTAGATAGTATAAATAAATACGTCACCTACTTTTCAGCATAATGACGTGCCTCATTTGACAATGTTTGACACACTTTCCACTTGAAGTGGTAAAATAGTATCTATGAAGCCGTATAAAGCCAGTAGCGATGAAAGATATCATAAAGCGAACCAGACGCAAGGGCCACCTTAGCCCGCAAGGAGTAGTACCAGGTAGCATTCTACGTGGATTTATATCTAAATTAGCTAATATGATGGAAGGAGAAGGGGAAGTGACCAGTACTACTGATTGAGCTGATCTGCCTCTCCACTTTCCCTGACTGCTGTCGTTCCCGTTGATACCCGCCCGACATCAGCAATGACACAGCCTATGTAGTTTTATGTAAGGAAAACCAGGTGCATTTGAGTACCCAGGCTATTTTCTATTTAAAGCCGTCGTTCTTCGCCTTCTATCAGATATTTCTACATTGCTAGTTGTATCAGCCGTTGGAGCACCCACCAGGATATTCATCTCTCATTACCCCAGTATGCCGCCAATTAACCGCGGTATTCTAGAGCGTCGTCGTGTGATCTGCTACCGTCAGACTTTTTTTCTGACCAGGGCGCATACATGTCTATGCTCCCTCTTGTGCAAGAACGGACCGGTATTACTCATCTAATTCTGGCAGCAATCCATCTTAACGAGCAACCAGGAAACATCACCCTCAATGACGACTCTCCAACCAACGAGAAGTTCGGCCCACTCTGGGTGGAGGTAAAAAAAATGAAGAAAACTGGCTTGAAGATAATGGGAATGCTAGGCGGTGCCGCTCGGGGTTCCTTCGAACGTCTTGATGGCAACGACGGCCAGTTCGAAGCATTCTACGGCCCCTTGTTGAAGATGATTAAGAAATACGCCCTCAACGGTCTTGATCTCGACACAGAGGAAAAAATGTCTCTCGAAGGCATTATCCGGTTGATCGATAGGCTTAAGAGTGACCTAGGCGATGATTTCATCATTACCCTCGCTCCCGTTGCGACTGCTTTGCTGGATAGGGGCAATCTATCTGGATTTGACTATAGAGAACTAGAGGCGGAGCGAGGCTCAAAAATAAACTGGTATAATGTGCAGTTCTACAATGGCCGGAGTTTCGCGAATGCTCCGAACATGTATACTGATATTGTATGTCGGGGCTGGTCTGCACAGCGGGTGGTCTTTGGCGTGTTAACAAACCCCAATGGAGGGTCGGGGTATGTAGCACCGGAAGTCGTCCAAAACATGCTCAGCAGATTGTCTAGACAATACAAATACTTCGGTGGGGTAATGGGTTGGGAGTATTATAATGCAATGCCAGATAAAACGAAGCCCTGGATGTGGGCGAAAGGAATGGCAGGAAGCCTGACCTTGTGATGTCACAAATTGCAACTGCTCGGATGTTGATCATGGGCGTGACACATTGCTAAAGACGTTCAGTTTATTCAATTACCATAGCCCTCGAACCTATGCATATCAGCTCCAAGACGAAGAAACTTCGATATCTAATTTACATCTACTGCGTAAGGGGTTGACCAAACGATAGTCCTAGCACCCTAATAAATATCTCCTCGAGGAATTCTTGATGAAGAAGACCGTATATTGGCGAAGACCGCAGAAAAATCGGGTATGCTTGAAGCACCAAAGTAAACCTCCATATTTCGCACACAATGGGATACTGATGCTTACTGAGAATAATTATAAGATTAAATTTCACAAGAGTCAATACCTGGTAATACAAATAGGGCCGGAATAACTTTTTCGTCATGCCAAAAGTATTGTTAGCCCAAGGATAGATATAATGAATTGCATAAACACGAGATTTTTTTCAATTTTGTTGATTTAAAGGCACATTAGATTTACTAAATCGTTCAATTGTGGTAAGTGAATCTTCATCAGAGGCAACGGGTAATATCATACGCCTGCCGTAGGGCATGTTATGAGGACTTGCAAAGTTTGCCACAATTATACTTTGGATACTAAACGTCTCTCTAGACATATGATAACAGGTTTTGTGGTATCTCATCAGGAAGCTGTAACAACCTTGATTGCGTCTATTGGAGATGCGTCTGTTTTTCGTTGTACTTACTGGTTCCTGTCTGATTCGGTTGCTCAACGACCCTTCTCCTGGGACCAAAGAGTCAGCGGAATCTTAACCAATAATTCCTGAGAGTTTTCAAGTCATTGTTCTGATTGTTCTGATTGTTGTAACTTTTATAATTCTTAAAGTAGTCAATTGCCCTTTCACTTGAGCAGTTGGTTGAATCTTTTCGGGGAACGGTTGAATCTTTTCCGGAGGCAGCATTGTGGCCATGTTGGATCTGTCGAAGGCATTCGACAAACTCCATGAGACAAATCAGCCAAAATAATTTCTCGTAGGCTGTCTGCCTTTTCCAGAACGTTGAGCTTTCGCGCAGGGCAATACCGGATTTTTGAATGTACTTGTTCAGAACAAGCTCAAGTCTAGAATAATTCGATTGGGAAGATGTAGTAAATTCCGTTTCCCCGTAGGTTGAAGGGACCAGTTGCGGATGAGTTCGATCAATGAAGCCCAAGTCACCTTCCCCGGAATCTCCAACTTTTACCTTTACCGGGTTAATTAGGGGCTTGCGTTCGCATTCCTCCGATTCTGCCTTTTCCAGTGTCTCAATTGCACTGAACATAAAATACGCAACACATAACGGATGAATTTGATTACAATCTGCAGTCATTAGATCAACCATCTCAGGCCGGCGCTTCTTGGACAATTTTCTAGATGGGGCAGACTGCTGAGAAGTGGGAGGGGATCTCAACCTGCGCGCAAAGATACGATTCAGTCTGTGCACCATGGCCTTCTTAAACTCTGCCAAAATTGTTGTAGCCATAGATCTATGACAGGGTGGTGTCTTTTATAGGGAAATTCAGAGACGTATCTGCCTTTCCATTGCTCAGAATGATGCATCCAATATTTGGTCTGTTCGGGGTGAATGCTCCTTTTCGAAGACAACGCTATTTTTCTATCCTTCTACGTTGGCTGTCAATGTTGCTATCAAATATTCCAAACGCTAAGCCTCAGTGACGCTAGAGCGTCGCCCATTTTTGGACTTTATTCAGGAGGCCACTTGTGGCATAACCGACGCTCAGGACGTCAATTTGGAGACTGTAAAAATGATTGCCCGGTAGGCCAATCAATAAGCTCGAGTCTACGAACGATATCCTAGTGTTCAGGTGGACCTGAATACAAGATTTACACCATAAATGCCTTCAAAAACGCGACAAATTTGTAAACTAGGACTTGTGGGTGGTCAGCAGCGAAGTATCTGAACGTTAATCATGAATAGTGTCTCCGTGCTGGACTAGTCACTCCTTAGTATCTTAAGGCTCGACTTTGCTTTCATCCCTTGTCAAATTCCTATTTTCTTTATTTACCTTTTTCTTTGTCTACGGTATTAATGGTAAAACTCTAATTCTTGTCATACGTCTCTTTTTGCAATTACTTGGAGAATTTCCTGAATCCTGTTTTCGTTTCGCTGCGACAATATCCATTTCAGAGATTAGACTATTCGTCGCTTAACGAGCTCTAAGAGATGATTTAGAGGGAGCCGAGAGGACGAGGGAAGGATACGGTAGCAGGAAGGGGTGATTTAGTAACACTGTTCCAACCGTGACAAATTATTGAGAAGGGTCGCAAAATCAATACTTCATGATTAACCAATAGGTCATCTGTGCAGTTCACTTGGAATATCTTAGACAAATCTTCTCGCTAATATCTGGTGATGCCTTCTACTTTATACGGATCCTAAATATTCTATTACTATCTATGTTAATACTTTACTTTAAAAGAGGTATGGATGCCTCAATTCACCATCAATCCGAAAGGTTTCTGGTCTGTTCAAATTTTCTCCGAGCCGGCAAGATGAACTTCAATACAAGTCGGACCAGTCGACCTTTCCCGCATTATGCAACCACCCATGACCAGACAAGAGAGTCAGCAAAGAAGTCCACATCACGGCCCTCGGCAACATCCTCGACGCGGATATCCTTTCACAAGTTCATGCGTCAGTTTCATGCCGCCAACAGACAGCCACGAGGGTCTTCGCACTCTGCAGCCTCTGCAGCGTATTTGGTGCTAGAGCCAGTCCCTGAATTCCCATTGGAGGATTGCATAAACGAACAAGGATACGATAGGCACCATTAGCTGCTAGCAAATTTGCTATTATATAGTGGCCTGCTACGAAGTTGAAATCACCGAAATATCCAAAATAGATCCTGCCAATAGATTCCAGTGGACTTTCTCTGTGATCTATTTCAACTTGTGAGTCTCTTCGAGCCGTGGCCTTACCAAAGCTCCAATCAACCAGGGCTAAATAGATACGGGAAAGAATCAAGGAAATGAACATAGCAGTATTTGTGGGAAATGGGACGAGCACGAATTTAGAAACCGAGTTTGGCTTATTTGTCGTCATTGGCACTGTGTTAAAATATAATAGTTAGCGTACATCCTTTCCTGCTGCACTTCTCCACAATCAAGATACTAAGGAAGAAAACAAAAAATGAGCCATCAGGCACCAAATCATTGCAATAATATTACAGTAATATTACTATGTATCTATTATATAGTTTCCAATTTTATGCAAAGATTACGTCAATCTTTGGGTATATTTCATCGCGAGAGTTCCTCCCTCACAAATTGTGGTTTCCATGACATAACCAGCCGTTATTCAGAGAAAAAGACTAAAATACTTAGAAAATGAATGTATTTGAACAATATTTGGCCCATAATATGTCCTCTCTTTGTGTTCTATAGCTGAAAGGATTTCAGCTTTTGCACCTCATGAAATCTTGGGATACTTTGTTTGCCTATCAACGGTGACCTATAAAATCAATTACATACGACATGTAACTGTGTGGAAATGTCAGCATCCAATCTTAGACTCCATTAGTCGCGTGGGCGTAGTCTAGTATAAATTAGAGGGAACCAGTCCCCAACGCTTTGTAGTCTTTGTGCTTAGCAACGGCCCGCGAATCCCCTCGCGTTTTCAGAGTCTCTGTTTGGCGGAGGCGATTACGACAGGTATGTTTTTGGAGATATCGCTTTTTAGCCACGCCGTAGGAGTTTGTGTTCATATTGTGATGTTCAGACTTTCGTGACAAAGAATGCTGAAAAGTTGTTCGCATTATTAGTCAGATCATATCCGTCTTTGAAGGAGTATTTGGAGCACATCGAAAGCCGATGTGTTGGCAATGACCGACACCTCAGCGAGATGATCACGCAGTGGGCGCGTGGCAGGCAAGGAGCTATATCCATGTCGCGGGTCGACCATGGGGATGCAATGTTAATCTATTCGTCTGGGCCGATTAGGTACGATGTGGCGATTGATTTTGATGGCCATAAAGTTGATTTGGCACGGGATGCCAATGGGCTGGCCGCTAGGCCCCGCGAAAGTGTTTACCGGAGCCTTGACAACGGGGCTCTTATTAAACGGCTGAATGCGATCGATTCGGACGGATTCCACAAGGCGAAATATGTTCTTGAGCACGATGATTTTGATCGTCTTCTTGAGGAGATGATGGGTTATCGAAAAGCGAGAGTTTCTTTGGTGTTTTGTCCATGGTCTTATGCATGTTGTTCGCGATGATCATCGCATTTACGCAACTTGCACCCATTTTCCTACAGAACTAGGGTTTTATGATTCGTGGCCAGCGGTTAGAATTCATTGTACGGATTCCTCAGCTATGGAATAGTGACTATTTGGTGTTAATAATTCATTCTTGTTTCTCCGCGGAACCGTATCAGAAGAAGGAACGTTAATGAGTAGATACAATCTGTTGCTATAGTCAGATCCTCCACTCGTCTCTCGAAGACACAAAATCAAGGTACTCTACCGGATTTCAAGACGGAGCAGTATGACCACAAGAACAAAAGTTCACAGGAAAACGCTAGCTCTGGAGGTGGGCAGCACGTCGAGGGAAGGCAAGGCAATTTCCGATATATGCCAACAGATAAACGTAATTTTAGGTGAAGGATGAACAGTGTATCCTGGAGACTATTTAAAATTATTTTTAATTGAGCTTAATACTCTGACACCAGTTGGTCAACTTTGCTGGCATTATCTTCGAAAATACCTCAATCTTGAGCGGGTTTGAGGGGACACGGTTGCGGTGGAACGCAGTTATATACAAAAATTGGAGCTGATAACGTTATTTTGCTATTTATGATCTAACTACTATACATGACCGGCTTTGGCATTTCTGTCGTGTGACACGGCGGTTGACTAGGCTCTAGGTCCAGAAGATCATTCATCTGTGAAATCGAAATTTCAACTATCTTGAACTTTTCTTCGGTCGGGCCTTTGAGTAATCCCTACATGTGGACCCATAGTGACGATAGTCCCTCAACACAAAGTATACGCTAGTCTAGTGATTCTGTACCCTAGGGGCTTCAAAGGAAAAATCTGACTTGAGTGAATCGAAAGATTTGAAATTCGACCATAATGTCTGAATTGTTAAAGCAAGCCTATCCGAAAGACCGGCCTGACGAGGCTGAATCAAGTCAGACATGTCGATGTAACTTAATACAGATTTTACATTCACAAACCTAATAAATGGGAAATCTTCATAGACACCTTGAAAGCTACTTAGAGTTCAAGACATTCGCATGGGAAAGGAGAAAAGAAGAAAACATAATGAGAAAAGAAAAACAAAGCAACAAAGAAAATGACTTGCTATGAATAGAAACCTCAATTCTCTAACGGTTCATTTATGACTATCAACTCCGTGTCCAATGCTTCGTCACAACTGGTCAAAATTTAGGGTGTATTGACTGAATTTTGTTTTACTCCATTGACTACAACGAGGCTTGGATGGGAACGGCGCCCTCCTCATTCTACATATACTCATACTTGTTTGCATGGTCTGCTTCGTACTTCGATCCCTATGAATAAGTCTGCTATCATGAGGTCACGCCCAAAAGCTACACTTGACCAGACGGTCTCTATCTTCGCAGTTCTGTCCTCTGTAGCTACACTGATTTGCTTGACCATTGTATTTGTTGGATGCACATCGCCATTCTCTCCTTTTAATTTGTACTTCATGAAGGTGATAAGGAGCCGCCTACGCAACATCGAATGGAATAACGCTGACTGAGATCTATAGGTTGACCTGACCGATTTTCCACAGATAAGCACTCTTCATGCCCGCGGCTCACCCGAATTGACTCATAGAGACCATACAACAGTCTCGGTACAGATAGGAGATGCGGATAGCGGTAAGCAGCACGAGACTGACTTTGTAGATCATGTGGTTAGACCAAGACGGAGCTATCTCGATACGCTACGCACAGATGTAAAGGGGGAATTGCCCGCTTACTACCACGTTGGCCTTCTGGGTTATTGTGAAGGCCAAAATGGTACGATATCGCGCTGCACAAATCCCGAAATTTCATTTTCATTCAGTCTGTGGGCGACATTCTCTACTTACGCCGCCAAATTGGCCGCATGGTTAGGAAACGGCAAGAGGAGCTTCCTTTCCGGAAATGCACATCACTCCTATGCAATCATCTGCCTGTACACATCTGGCTTCGTCACAGCATTCTTGACTTTGACGGCAAGCATCAACCGTCTCTTTTTCTCCAAAGTCGGTGGTTTTTTTCTGGTGTGCTCTGCGGTAAGCTTCCGCCCATTCCGATGACCCTTATTAACGCTGACCAAACACAGATCACAACTGTACTGTTGACTGTGGCGACCTCTTGGGTAATCAGTTTCTATAGCTCCTATACAGAAGAAGTCAACCAGATTTTAGGAGAGTATGGCGCCCGGGCAAGTCTTGGCTCTCACAGCATTGCATCCACATGCCTAGCAGTGACATTCTCTTTGACATCAGTCTGCTTGGCCGTTTGGCTGACCAAGATTTAACCTAGTCGCAGAGTAATCAATGGTTCTGTATATTTCATCTTTAGAGGTTTGGCTTTTTTCTTTTGCTTGCTTTTGTTGTCTTTTTTTCATGTCTAACTAGCTAAAGAGGCGTTAGAACAGAATGTGACTAGTATGTGCTCTCGCTTCTATCTAAATGGTATCTCATGCTCTTTCCTTGACATTATTCCGCTACCAGTTAAGATACCACTGATTTAGACAGGGTCATGTTTGATCCTCCTCTACGTGGAGTTTGCATTCCTAAAGTAAATAAAGTATACTATCCGTCAGTTGAGTTTCATTCCGTCTCTTTCGTGGACTAACTAGAACAAAAATTTGGATACAATTTGGCTTAAGTGATTCAATGTACTCTTTGATGCCTCAGGATGATACCCTTTCACACTGAACCCTGCATAGTCAGGTTTGACCTGATTATCAAATGTTTGGCATCAAGCCTATATTTCCCTGAGAAAACAATAATCAACTCCTTTACGGTGCTCAGTTGTGACCACCTTTTGGGAACGGCATTTTTTTTCAGTTACGGCCGCAGAACTGTTACTAAGCCACATCGCTGCCTAGAATCTACAAGGAAAGCTGATTTAGCCAATAAGAGGCCTTCTGTTTCATAGTCCATCCTGTATTTTACCTGAAGCTAAATGGCAGAGTCACCGAGAGCTTCTCTCGTATACAGCAAACAGATTAAAGCTCAAGTGATAATACACTATTTTTTATCATTTCTTCTTTATTATCCAGAAGGTTCTCCCTATTTTAATATTGACACAATTCCATTAGGTGTCTGAAGACTAATCCTTATCATTACGATCGTATCATGAAATCGATATGCGAGATCCTGGCACTAGTAGTCTATCTAAATAATCATGCCCATTTTAGCTCTCATCCGCCACTTGTATTATTGATCATGTCAGAAAGAATGTTCTTATTTGTGAACAACGTTAAACACATCATGCATTGTATCGAAACTGAACAATTTGATCGTGAATCCTAGCTCAAGGTATTGGAAGTATCATCAGTCGTACATCGCGAATGTGCACCACACGCTCTTTACTCCTTGCGAAAATATGAGTTAGGGATACTGGAATCTTATAAATTTATCTCTAGCTTAACAAATAGAACAAAATCAAAGAGTCAAGTATACTAGAGATAACTGGAGACTTTGGAGATAAACTGCATGGAAATTCCTCACTTCCTTCAAGTCTGGTTTCTGACTATGCATCATGGATCAAATCACAGCTCTATCCGCCGAATTCAAATTGCTAATCCATAATTGACTAGCGTCTGATGGGTTAGATACTCGACCCTCCTTCATCGTTTCGGCCAGCGTGAAGACTATTAGAAATCGTTGGAATGCTGCAGGTCCCTATTCATCAGAAATAGAGCTTCCAGAGGATATAGAACACTGCGTGCAACGCGGGCGTTTCGAAGACCAGTCACCGAGCCATCTAGTGATACAATCCATGATGTCCTGAGTCAAGTAGTCGTACTTCGTTCTTTCTTCCTCACAAATACTACGCCATTTGGCAGCCTTTGGGGCAGTCGCCTCTTTGGTAGCCTTCGCGGCAGTCGCCTCTTTGGCAGCCTTCGGGGCAGTCACCTTTTTGGCAGCCTTCGCGGCAGTCACCTTTTTGTTCGGGGCAGTCACCTTTTTGTTTGGGGCAGTCGCCTCTTTGGCAGCCTTTGGGGCAGTCACCTTTTTGTTTGGGGCAGTCGCCTCTTTGGTAGCCTTCGGGGCAGTCGCCTTTTTGTTTGGGGCAGTCGCCTCTTTGGTAGCCTTTGGGGCAGTCACCTTTTTGTTTGGGGCAGTCGCCTCTTTGGTAGCCTTCGGGGCAGTCGCCTCTTTGGTAGCCTTCGGGGCAGTCGCCTTTTTGTTTGGGGCAGCCACCTCTTTGGTAGCCTTCGGGGCAGTCGCCTTTTTGTTTGGGGCAGCCACCTCTTTGGCAGCCTTTGGGGCAGTCACCTTTTTGTTTGGGGCAGTCGCCTCTTTGGCAGCCTTTGGGGCAGTCACCTTTTTGTTTGGGGCAGTCGCCTCTTTGGCAGCCTTCGGGGCAGTCGCCTTTTTGTTTGGGGCAGTCACCTCTTTGGCAGCCTTTGGGGCAGTCACCTTTTTGTTTGGGGCAGTCACCTTTGTATCAGCCTTCAGGGCAGTCGGCTTGTTGGCAGCCTTCGTTTTGGTGGTCCTCCATGCTTCTTTCCCAGACACCTCAGCCCCGGGAGTCTCTGAAGCAAGGCTGTTTGATGTTTCTGAGCTATCAGATTCATCAGTTTCCAAAAACGAGGGACAATCCGTTACATATTCTGAACTATATTGACCGTCTTGGTTCAGCTGGGTTAGTAGAAACAACAGGCATGTTCGACGTTATCGTATTGTACATACTTTGTGACATTTTTTAAGTACTTAAATAATTCAAGTTGCTTTCACGGAAGTTCTGCTACGCTTTCACTCAATTTAAATCACAGCCGCACTGTACGATGTATTGGCCTATTTTAGACTATATTCGAATTTGGCTCCGTCACCTATACCAAATTAGAACGGATGAAAAAGATTTTGTGGCGGATGCTGAAATGGGCTTCTGTTGACATTTCGAGAATTTATATCCACTCAATTAGGAACGCTCAAGTCATAGAGTAAAAAAATCAATCATCTATCATGCGCCTTACGATGTCAGCAAAATCATTGATCTGAATGGTCCGCGTTTCATAAGTCCAGTTGCACCTAAAACCATACCAGATTAGCTGGTTCAAAATTACCTCTGGCTGGTATGGGGCTTGCGTTTGCTTCCGATCACATATGAAATAATGATAAGTTACCAAAATCTGCAAATCAGGCTTGTTAATACGATGTTCAACGTGACCTACGCCATCATGAATTCTAAGATGCAAAGATCGCTACAGGATTGGAATATCGCTAGACTTCTATAGGGTGGCTTTCCAGAATGTTCGTTGCTGGTTCGTTTAAAATAATAATGTAATAGACTTGTTTAATATTCGGCCATACTATTCATAACGTTTGGTATGACAGGAAAATGTAAAACTGGCTCTGGCGGTGCGAAACAGGTATGACCCCGAGAAGCACGTGGTCAGGTATCTCTAAACATGAATTCCTTATGTTATATGCCCAGTACGCTTTTTATGGAATTGGATCTACCAAAAATCGCTGACAAGCAGACCGGATTCCCTAAAAATTCAGAGGCTGATCAAATAATGAAGCTGATTTGCACCGACGTAATCTCCGTAAAGTTTATATATATTGTCTTGGATCAGTAATATATTGCTGGTTGGGATCCATTCAAGCCTAGCACGGTTTGCCACCCAAATCTTTCTAGAGAAGGGAAGGCAACTTGTATATGCCGACAAATAAGTGTAATCTTAGGTGGGAGTAGAACATTCTTTACGGGAAATTATTAAATCCTATCTCTAATTGTAAATAGTCTGACAGTAGCTGCAACTATCCTGCGCTGCCTTCCAACCTCCCCCAATTCCGAGCAGGTTGGGTGGACATGCTCGCACGTTAACTCCCGAGGCAGATGGCAGAATTCAAACAGGCAAGTTGCTAGCCGAGTGACCAGCACTATGAGATGATCGCCTCGAAACAATAGAGCCTAAGACATATAAATGGAATTTCTCTAGGGAAGCTTAGCACACGTATCGCTCTTTACATAACAAACGTTATTGTGAGAGCCCCCAGAAGCAAGAAGAGCTTTCCTCGTTCCATTGTGGCCGAGTTCGCTATGGCAGTCTGAATTGAAGCACTTGGGATTCCGTGAGAGCCATACGTGGCCCTTGTAGATTGAATATATGTGGTGGATAGGACACGCGAAGATGATCTCACGGGACTATACACCAGTGATGAACTTGGATCTGCTTGAGAACGGTCCAACCTGCCTGCCGAGGCTATTTGGTCGATGGGGAGATTGCTGGTAATGTGTACTGCAGAGACTGTAGATGTGACGGAAGGAATTAAGGCTAGAGACCATGACTCTGACATGATGGTATCTGTAGAGGGTGTATTTGTTGACAGGACAAGGCTCTGGTGCTCCGGAAATTGGGAAAGTTGTTGCGCACACAGAGCAGTGAATGCATCACTTGCAGCCTGACGAGTTGATTCCATCGACAATTTGGTCGTCGCACGCATTGACATCTCATCCGCAACACAAGAAACTACTTCTTCCATGGATTTTGACTGGAGGCAAAAGCAACTGATTTTATCGACAGACTGGCATTCCGGTACAAGCCAAAGCCATGACTGAATACAATATGTGGCCACTTCGAAGCCATCGCTTGAGGGAGTATCGGTGATTGTGGTGAGTGGAGAGATAGGACTGGAAATGCTATCTCCTGAAAGGTGCGTGGTCAGAGAGCTCTGCAAAGGTTTGCGAGGATGCTCCCCGGTTGCCGAGTCCCCGCCAGTAGTGGACCGGCTCATTGATTCTGCATCGGAATGACGTACGCCTTGTGATGAAAGGGCGCCCACCACAGGGGACGCGGTGACCGTTGTTGTTATTGAGCAAAGAGTTGTAGTGGTGTGCGCCACCAAAGTCACTGTTGATCTGGGCAAATCTTGTGAGCTGATTGGCGGAGATGGTTGCTTGAAAGTAGATTGGAATGCAGCAGAGGGTGAAGTCGATTCGATGGGAGGCATCCCGGTTGAAGGTTCAATTATCGAGGACGGAATTATTGAGATTACGGTAGTAGATGTTGGCGGTCCAAGGGAAGCCGAAGATAAGTCGGTCGCTGTGATGGCACTGCTCATCCCAGTCGTATGGAAGGATGTAGTAGTAGTAGATTGGAGAGGCATATTGGTCGTTGTTTGAGTTGTTTCCGTGGACAATAAGCCAGACGTACTTCCTGTGCTGGAGAAGAGAGAAGACTCAGCAGGCAGGGTCCTGGTCATTGTCTTGCTGGTTGCCTCAGTGACCAATTTAGTAGTGGTAGAAGTAAGAGAGCTCAAAAAGGTAGATGTTATAACCCGAGTAGACTCCGCTGGACAGTCGGTAACAGTAGGAGCGCAGCTTGTCACAGTAAAGAATCTGGTCGTATAGACCGTCGAGGCGGACCACCGAGAAGAGGTGCTTAGACTGGGGCTCTCGGATGGAGTAAACGGATTCATCGAAGTCGAAGGTGGCGGAGAAAGGCTTCTGGACGGGTTGAGATTTGTGGTCCGGCTAGTGGATAAATTTGTAGTGGTCACGGTGTATATAGTTGATGAGATAGCCATCGTGGAAGTGAGTAAACTCGTAGAGTGGGCAGGACAGTCGGTCACGGTGGCTGCACAACTTATCACAGTGACGATGCGAGTAGTATAGAAGGTGGAAGTTGCCCATGGAGAGATTCCCTGGACTGTGCTTGCATCCGTCGGCAATACAGGCAATGGAGATAGTGCCGGGGTACGGGTTTCCCGAGTGGAATGTAACTGAGTAGCTTGGGACTGAAAAGGAGAGACGAGCCATGATCGGCTGCGGGTAGGTTGATTCGGCTTCGAAGATATCGATGCCACTGGGAGCTGAGTGGTTGAAACAGCAGCCGTTGATGTCACGATCGCTGTCGAGTCAGCGGGACAATTGGTGATTGTAGGAGCGCAGCTTATGACAGTGATCACGCGTGTCGTGTAAACAGTGGAGGCCGTCCATTCGAAAGATGAGATCGTGGGCACTGCCGCGGACCTTGGAAGAATCATCGATGGTATTCTGGAGGGAGAGGAACCCTGAGACTTCAGATCGGCTGTAGTGGAAACACCGCCGGCACGTTTAGACGCCGGATGGACAATGCCAGATTGCGATTGACCGTTGCGAACATGATCATGAGTATCATGCTTGATACAATATGAGGAAAGGCCACAACCCTCAGCAGCAGCCTTGCACAAAGCGACACCCAGAATGGCGAGCAACTTTACCACCCGCATATTTGCTGTGGGTACTAAGAGGCGAGATGAGAAATGCTAGACCAGTGGAAAAGAAGAATTGTGCTTTGGTGAAGCATTTTTTTCTCGGTCAGGGAGGAATCTATTAACTTTTCTGTGGGAGACCTTCAGCCAGTGATAACAGAATGTGGCGGGACTGATAGCCGTATATCGTCGGCTTATTGATTCTATTTGAACTGGTCTACAGAACAATAACGTTATCGAAAGGGGGTATCTGGCATCAAAATAAAAGGCAGGTGAGACAATTTGCGTGCAAGATGAGGAGATAGGGCTGAATATCCTCTTCATAACGTGATGTACGTTTGCACACTTCATCATTGTTGTTCGCTATGAATCGGGGCAAGTCGTTAACGAGTTGTAGCCCGCAGGCCAAAGACGCCGCCAAGAAAATTCCACGGATTGACAACTTGGTCTTGGAGACTCTCCAGAAATTACAAAAACTCTTAATGAAGCGAGACTCGATCCCAGATCTACATTTAACGACGATATGGACCCCTCCTAACTGATCTACATGGTGGCAAAAGTCGTAACTGTGCCGAAATATTGCAGAGATACTTCTTCATCAACCGGTAAATATCTGCTATTTACTTGTGGCTTGATTGTTTCCCAAACTTCCCCGTAACTTGGCCTGTGATAACAGCGAAATGTGGGCGCCTGAAATCCCGTTGTATCGCGAATATGCTATCCATACCTTGAAATGTTGCAACCTAGCACAATCCATTTCTGCCTTGCCCTCATTTCATACACCTTCTATCTACGACCCCGTTCGCCTACCAGAGCTAAGTTAACCCACTGGGAGAGGATTCAATTTTTGTAGGTCTTGTTGTGATAGATATATTTGCTAAGGAGAATAAAACCTTGTTATTCCGGAGGATGGGAGGTTGTGGGCTATGCTGGATTTAGTCGAACTGTAAAAGATATCTCGAAACACACGGTCGCAACCCTCGCCATAAGATATACATAAACTCAACGTAATTTTTTCGTTCAGATCCACTTTACCGATGGGAAAGTAATACCAATCAAATTACATAGTTTTTCTTGCAATTACCATGCGAATTATTCACTTTCTGTGTGTTTGGTCCCAAAGTATCTTGAGGTTGAGCGGGTGCGGCGGGAAACGGTTGGAGAGGGATTAACGTTACTGGCCATTACTGTCCTATTTTGCTCCGACATACCCCTACTCCGACGTCTAAATTGAACTCCTGCTCTCTGCTCGCCCGTCATGTCTAGATCACGTAGTACTCCTTTTGAGGCTTGTCAAGTACACATGTAGAGGAAGGTTTCATCCCAAGGCGTGCTTTTCTTCGACAAATATGGCTAAGTGAGCGATAGACCAGTGTTCTTCTTACTGAATACCTTCAATTGTTTGCAGTAGTTAATGGAGGTATGACAATCTAAAATAAGCAAGACTGGGTTCGCCTGTCGAGATGACCACGTCTTGTTGGCTACGTATGTTCCTGAAATGCTTGGGTCCTGCCAGTGCCGTCTCGGT